CTTGAAGGTAATTTTAAACACAATAAAAATAGCTGCTTTGAGTCTCCTGTGAGAGAGAAAAAGCAGGATATAAGCAGGACTACTATTACTGGGTTGCTGTGAGTTTTCCTTCCCAGGTGATCTTCAGAGCTCGGGATGTTTGTCTGTTCTTGAGATGAAAGGCACATGTCTGTGGACAATTTCAACAGAAAGGAAGAAACCATGAAAATGAACAAAATCTGGCTACCAGTATTAAAAAACTCAAAAATTACAACAGCACAACAACAGAGAGGAAACAATCAGGGCACAGCAAATCACTCTCAACAAAAAATTCCCCCAGGCACTTCCAAGCCATTAAATGCTAATCAAGGTGGTCAGTTAAAACATTCACACCTAGCTCCAGCAGACAAGAGTCCTTTGTCCCACCCTGGTCATTCCACAGATATATAAACCCATTTTCCTAGTTACAACAGACCTCACTACCTCTGAGGATGCTTGCCATAGATGCAGGCGAAACGTCAGGAGAAAATGCCTCTAGAACATGGCCATATAGCCCAGAAAACCTACAACAATACTACCTAGTTTTTATTGCAAAGTTTGTAATTGTGCTCTGAAAAAAGATACCTAGTAGGATATTGAAAACAGGAAGCATTTGAGAATTTCATTTGAATGAAAATCAGGTTTGCCTGCCTCTGTTTGATGTGAGTGTTTCTTCTGGCTGCAAAAGGGTTTCCACAATTAATATTGAAAATTAAAGGTGTTGTTGTTGTGTGCCTTCAAGGAGTTTGTGATTTACGGCCACCCTGAGGTGTTCTTTTAGCAAGATTTGTTTGGAGCTGAGAAAATAAGCCTGCCTTTGGACAGATTCGCTCGTGGTTGGCGGAATGTGATTTCTCTCATCATTTTCGCTTGTTTGTGCTCACTCAACAAAGATTTGAAAGTGTTATTGCGGGTTTACTTTTTGAAACAACAACAACTCCAGCTTAATTTTCCAAATGACTAACTTGGAATGGAACCTTTTTTTTTTTGTCTTTGCTGATGTGTTCTTTTCTTGACAAGAGGACAAACCACGCTTGTCCGTCAGGTTATAAAAAGCGGTGGTGGAATGCCCTTTTCTCTCTGCTCTGCCTTTGGAAAGCTGCCCTTGGCCAGGACAGCTGGAGACCTCTGTGCCATTTCGCTCGAGCTGTTGACTCGGCTCCGGATTAATTCCCTTCTGTTTCTGGACTCCTCCCTGCTGTTCTTCCAAATGACTCAGGCAAACATTGGGTGCCGGTTTCGTTTCGTTGCATGCTGTTTTTGCAACAGAGTCAGGATTCCTGGGAGGGCATAAAGAGCCTTTACAGACAAATGCAACTGTATGGCAGCTTAGCTGACACTGCTGAATTCAGAAGGTTGAATATGGGAAAACTGTATGTCACAGCATGGTGTGGTACAGTGTTTCTCAACCTTCCTAATGCAGCGACCACTTAATATACTTCCTCATGTTGTCGTGACCCTCAACCATAACATTATTTTCATTGCTGCTTCCCTACGAAAATTGTGTTTTGCACATTGCACAGTGGTGTGCATTGAAAATTGGGTAGTGCAGTGTTAGAATGCATGTTGTTTAACATCTATATGCGACCACTTGCTCAGCTGGTTCGAGGTTTTGGGCTTGAGTGTTATCAGTACACCAATGACACTCAGCTTGTGCTGAAGATGGAAAGCCGACCGGACTCTGTACCCGATTGTTTCCATCAGTGCCTCGAGGCCGTGCCTGGATGGCTGCGTGCCAGCAGGTTGAGGGTGAATCCAGCAAAGATGGAGATCCTATGGCCGGGTTGACTGGGCAGTGGGGACATCCAGCTGCCTACCCTGGATGGCGAGGCACTACGCCCGTCATCATTGGTCAAGAGTCTGGGAGTCCTTTTGGACCCTCTGCTGATGATGGAGGCCCAGGTCTCCGCCGTTACCAGAACCGCCTTCTTTCATCTGCGGCAGGCTAGACGGCTGGCCCCCTCCCTGTCCAGGGACGACCTAGCTATGGTGATCCAGGCCACGGTCATCTCAAGACTGGACTACTGTAACGCCCTCTACATTGGCCTTCCTGTGTCGGTGATCCGGAAGCTCAAGCTGGTACAAAATGCAGCTGCTCGGCTTCTTGCGGGATTTCCAATGAGATGCCACATCACCCCAAACTGACTGCAGCTGCATTGGTTACCAGTTGAGCACCGGATCACTTTCAAAGTGATGGTACTCACCTTTAAGGCCTTGCATGGTCTGGGGCCGATGTACCTGAGGGACCGCCTCACCCCCTACCAACCCCAGAGATCCCTCCGTTCTGAGGACCAAGATCTATTGGAAGTCCCCAGTGTCAAGACCTTGCGTCTAACCGCAACCAGACGCAGAGCCTTCACAGCAGTGGCACCATCGCTCTGGAATACTCTGCCACCTGAAGTCCGTGCCTTGCGGGACTTACCAGCTTTCCGCAGGTCATGTAAGACATACCTGTTTCGACAGGCTTTTAATGTTTGATAGTGTTGTTTTTAAATTGTTTTAAATTGCTTTTAAATTTTGTTAGATTTTAGCCATTCTTGTAAGCTGCTCCGAGCCCCAGGGGAGTGACCGCATATAAGTCCAAATAATAAATAAATAAAATGAACAAGGCCGCGTATTTTAACTGCCACACATCTCTGTGTTTATTTACACTTTTTCCCTCGAAGCAAGATCTGGGCCACGATGTCCCAGTGTTACTCAGTGTAGCCTCCCATCTGATTCTGTGTTCTTGGCTCATTGATGACAGGGCTTGTTTGTTTTAGGCTACACTGGGTGTCCGATCCATTAGGGCACACAGCTGTTTCTTTAGAAATGCTTTGTTGTTAAGTGGGGAAATTAAGACTGTTCTAGGAGATAAGGCTCAAAAGCAGCCTAACAGTGCGGATGCCTAGAGGTGCTTCTTGATGGAAGACTCATAATTTTGTTCTCCAAAGATGCTTCTCAGCTGTTGGGTCTTTTTTGCTTAACTGTGTGTTTGTTTGTGTGTGTGTGTAAAGGGAAAGGACAGAGGAGATGGTAAGAAGACAAGGACATTTGCAAGGATGTTGTCTGGAATACCCATAATTTTCCATAATGGAAGCTGGGTAATTGGGTAAGAAAAGGGTCCAAAGTTGATAATAATAACAACAACAACAACAACAACAATAAAATAAAAAAAAAATTGGGGAATCGGGGCGGCTTACATGAAGCCAAGTCCAACAGCATCTATATAAACAAAAATGTAATGTTCGTTTGTGGGATTAACAGAACTCAAAAGCCACTGGACGAATTGACACCAAATTTGGACACAAGACACCTAACAACCCAATGTATGTTCTTCACTAAAAAAAAAAATGATTTTGTCATTTGGGAGTTGTAGTTGCTGGGATTTATAGTTCACCTACAATCAAAGAGCATTCTGAACTCCACCAATGATGGAATTGAACCAAACTTGGCACACAGTTCTCCCATGACCAACAGAAAATATTGGAAGGGTTTGGTGGGCAGTGTCCTTTGGTTTTGGAGTTGTAGTTCACCTACATCCAGAGATCACTGTGGACTCAACAATGATGGATCTGGACCAAACTCTACACGAATACTCAATATGCCCAAATGTGAACACTGGTGGAGTTTGGGGAAAATAGAATCTTGACATTTGGGAGTTGTAGTTGCTGGGATTTATAGTTCACCTACAATCACAGAGCATTCTGAACCCCACCAATGATAGAATTGGGCCAAACCTTCCACACAGAACCCCCATGTGGGCCACAGCAATGCGTGGCAGGGGACGGCTAGTAGTAGTAGTAGTAGTAATAATAATAATAATAATTGTATATTTCTGCCGCTTCTGTGATGGTTCATTTGTATTTTGATTCTGTAGCCCACTTTTTGATAGATGTCCAGAATCAGCAGCATCCACCGCGGTCCTTTTTATCCTGGATGTCGACCGAGCCAGTATAGACTTCGTTTTGGTTTGCTTCTCCATAGTGCTAATGGGTTAGGTGCTCTTGGTTCCACTCCTCAGCTGAGACCTCTCTGGCTTGGTTGGACCTGCTGGTAGTTAAAGAATTGATGTGATCATAAATGTGCAAAGGTCGTGGAAAATGAACACGCATAAATACTGTGGGACTTTCGAATCCAGACTGACAAAGTTTTGGAACACAATACACCAGACATCACGATTGTGGAAAAGAAAAAAGTCTGGATTATTGATGTTGCCATACCAGGTGACAGTCACGTTGAGGAAAAACAACAGGAAAAACTCAGTCGTTATCAAGAACTCTAAATCAAACTGCAAAGGCTCTGGCATAAACCAGTCCAGGTGGTCCCAGTGGTCATTGGCGCACTGGGTGCAGAGCCAGTGTTAAGAAATGGGGCTTCAAAGTGGAGTTCACAACATTTGAGTGTGGAGAAGAGCAAACCACAGACCACCTACTACAGTGCAGTCTGAGCCCTGCCACATGCACAATGGAGGACCTTCTTATTGCAACACCAGCTTCTGGTCAAAGGAAATTTAGTATAATACGTTTTTAACTTTGCTTGTGGTATTTCTATACATTATAACTGTCTTCCCAATTCACTTCTGACATGATAAATAAACAAACAAATATTTTCAAGTGATGTCTTGGTCATCTGGATTTTCCTTGTCCTTCTGACCTTCTGAAGGCAGACAAGAATCCCCCCAAATCTTTGTGATCACCATTGCTGTTTCAGAGAATGAAGAGAAGGAGAAAAGCGGGTCATGAAAGAAGCACTCTCCTCCTCTGCTCTCCGTGCCAAGCTACAGCAGAAGAGGCCAGTGCTTAATTATGACCTACTTGTCTCTTTCCTTCTTCTCTGAAACAGCAGAGGTGATGAGGAAGATTTTGAGAGTGCTACCAAAGTGTCTCTCCCCAGTTTTGGGTTGTTGTTTTCCTTGTCTAGAGACCCTGCTTGCTGTGGTCTGAGCTTTGTGTTTCTCTTGGTTGTGTTTCCTCACGCATCCCTTCTTCTTCCTCCATCAGATCTGGTGGCTGGATCCTGAGCTGACGTATGGGAACTCCAAGCCCTTTGTCTTCACCCAAGGCCATTCCGTGTGCAACCGCTCCTTCTTCCCCTGCTTTGACACACCGGCGGTCAAGTGCACCTACTCTGCTATCGTCAAGGTCAGGACTCAGTGATGTAAAGCCTGTTTTCCTCACTGTTGCTTCCTTAATGTAGAATCACAGAGTTGGAAGAGGCCACAAGGGACATCCAGTACAACCTCAAACAGATGGCATTGCCCAGCAAGCCTCTGCTTAAGTGCCTCTAGAGGCGTGAGAGTGAAAAAAGTGTATTTTGGATGTTTATTAGTCAGCCATTATTTTCCTTGATCTATCAAACAGTCCTGACAGTCTTTTTGTGCTGTTTTCCAGGCTCCTGCAGGCATGCAGGTTTTGATGAGTGCTACCCAAAGTTCCTATGAAGAACAAGAGGGCATATACCAATTCTACATGGAATACCCAATCCCTGCTTATCTGGTGGCGCTGGTGGCAGGGGACCTTGTGCCTGCAGACATTGGTCCTAGGTAAGTCACAGCTGTCTGATTATTTTGTCATTTGGAGTTGTAGTTGCTGGGATTTATAGTTCACCTAAAATCAAAGAACATTCTGAACGCTGCAAACGATAAGAGTTGAACCAAACTTGGCACACAGAGCTCCCATGACAAAATACTGGAAGGGTTTGGTGGACATTGACCTTGAGTTTTGGAGTTGTAGTTCACCTACATCCAAAGAACACTGTGGACTCAAACAATGATGGATCTGGATCAAAATTGGCATGAATTCTCAATAATGTGAACACTAGTGGAGTTTGGGGAAAAGAGACTTGACATTTGGGAGTTGTCGTTCCTGGGATTTATAGTTCACCTCCAATCAAAGTGAATTCTCAATGCCACCAATGATAAAATTGGGTCAAACTTCCCACACAGAACCCCATGACCAACCCAGTTTGAGAAACACTGTTCTAAAAGATCAATACAAAACAAAACCTTGAAAGCATGATCCAAATAGGCACCAGCAAAGCAAAATCCCATAAGAACATGACTGAGTCCTGAGACCATGAACACAAGAAGTGCTAGGTAATCTAAACAAGCAAAATGCAAGCTTCTTGGTTAAACGAAAAGTCGCTCTGACAAAGGTTTGGTCTTAAACACACTGCTTAATATCCTTTGCAAAACATGAAGGCATTTCTTTGGCCTCTGGCCTCCTTCTTGTTAGCTATTCTTACACTCCTTCGAACTCTGAATTCCAAACGGTCAGCACGATCTAAGGTTTCCGTTTCATCAAGGTCAGTCTGTTTGTTACTGTTATCCAGTTTGCTTCCTGCTCCTTAACAGGCTGAGAACTGTCCTCCTTTTCTGAGTCAACTTGCACCTGCACCTGGCTCGTTTCAGCATCAACAAACTCATTTCTTGCTGTGGGAAACTGAACTTCCACACCCTGTTCCTCATTGATTACAACAGGGACATTTTGAACCAGATTGTCAACCTGAATCCCATCATCCTCGCCAGAGGCACTCTGTGCTTCCAGCTGAGTCACAACATTGACCTACATTACCAGCTGTACATAATAAGTAACAACATAAGGTTTTTCTTCAACACACACACACTTGGTCCTGCTATGATTTACCACAACAATGTGGACCAGAAAAACTGCTCATGTTAACTCAGACGTGGGCAAACTTCAATTCCCATGTCTGAGTTAACATGAACATTTTTTCTGGGAGTTGAAGTTGAAGTCCAAAACACCTGGAGGGCTGAAGTGGACCCATGCCTGTGCTAACTTATGAAGCTGAGTACTTATAAGTATTTATTAGGAACTTTTCTTCAAGCTTGAAATTATGTGTGTTTGAACATGTCGAATTTCATAGTAAGAATCTGAAAGTCTGGGTGAATTGTGTCAAGTGTCAATCCTATTGCGATGTCAGTATTTTTCCTTCTTTGCAACAGGAGCAAAGTGTGGGCAGAGCCGTGCCTCCTTCCAACAGCAATTGGCAAACTCTCTGGAAGAGTTGAACGCTGGCTCAGTGCAGCAGAAAGCCTCTATGGCCCTTACATCTGGGGCAGGTAAGATTCGGGGAGGGGGCTTCGCATGTCAACTGTCCAGGTTTGTTTGGAATTCACAAATTATGGGGCTGGGCTTAACACAGCAGGCAGAAAAATAGTGTTCATCGGATGGTCCGCAGTTCAATCCCGAGTCGGATTTGAGCACCCGCCGTTAGCCCCAGCTTGTTGCACCTCAGTAGGAGTTCACCATGCTCGCAGTACTCACCAAAACACCAAACATGGTAACAAACAGTTTATTGATAAAAGCACATATATAAAGGGAAAAGGCACCATAAGCAAATGGAAGGGTAAAAATCCAAGAGTGAATGAAGGAAGCAAGTCCCAAAGGCAATTAGTAAATCCAGGAAACAAGATCAACACATGAACATGAATCCCAAAGGGAAATTTGCTCATTGGTTCTGATTGCAAGATACAATAATAATATTAACAACAGTATCAACACTATGCTTATATTTCGCTCTATCTCCCCGAGGGGACTCAGAGCAGATTACAACATACACAAATAGGCAACATTCAATTCCTTTAATACAGTGGAATCACAATGACATACAAATACACAGAACAAAGGTAAAGGCTTCCCTTTTCATCTCCGGCTTTCTGGAGGCAGTGCTCAACTCTGACCATGGGGAGGTGCTCTTGCTCCATTTCCAAGCTGAGGAGCGTGTTATCCGTAGACACTTCCTGGTTGTGTTGCCAGCATGGCTGCATGGGCACCTTTATTACCTTCTTGCCGACACGGTACATATTGATCTACTCACATTGCATGTTTTCGAACTGGTAGGTTGGCAGGAGCTAGGGCTAACAGCAGAATCTCACCCTGACCTGTGGCTTCGAACTGGTCACATTTAGGTCAGCATATTCAACAGTTCAACAGTTTGACTTGTTGCGCCATGGTGGCCCCTTGTTTGTCTAATTAATATTTCAGAAAAAAGAAAGCTATGATATCAGTTTCCTGGCATTAGATTACTAGACTATTTGGACTAAAAATAATAGAGCAAAAAGGAGACATCAAATACACATTTACTGCTTAAGGATTAGTGGGGAGCTGTGGAAACAGTAATTCATGTATAACAGGAATTTACGTTAATTTTGTGGGCCACATGAGAGCCCAAATAGGGTCCCCTTAGCTCAATGTTGGGGTCCCAAATAATTTGACTAACATGGAAGTTTTCTCAATGCCATTTTGTGGCTGTTTTAGATGTGTTGTACAGCATTGGCAGTGGATTCGGCATAAGATGCTTCAGCTGTACTTCATTAAAAGGAAAATCAGCCTGTTTAGCAAGCCTTGCAAATGCTAACTTACGAGGGTTGAATGAAAAGTAATGCCTCCACCTTCGTTACTCGGGTTTGGATGGGAATATTTTAATAAATCAAACGCAGAAATAATTCTTAGAATGTGCTCTTTAACTACCACTATTCACTTTTCCACATAATCACCAGACAATTCGATACATTTCTGCCAACGATGAATAAGTTTTCTAAAGCCATCACGGAAGAAGTTGACACTCTGTTTCCACAACCAGCATCTCACAGTTCTCTCATCCTGGGATACCCATTGTGCACAGATCTTCCAATAGCCAAGCAAAGAAATAATGTGGCCCACACATTCTTGTGAAATGCTGATTATGCTTGAAATTTTTCTCTGAGTGATAGGACGATCGCCCTGAATCAATCTGTCCACCTTTTGCTTGTGAAACTCGGTGGTTGCTGTCACAGGACGTCCAACTCTTTGTTTGTCACGCAAATCAGATGTTCCCACCTCAACATCTTTAAACTTTCTCACCCAACGACGCACAGTACTCACATCAACACAATCACCATAAACAGCTTGCATTCCCTGATGAATCTCCTTTGGCGTGAAACCTTTTGCTCTCAAGAGTTCAATTACTGCATGTTGCTTAAGTCGCATTGACTGAGTGTCGGAGCAGGGATCTATACTTCGCACTTTAACAACACAACCATTCAATGCTAAGGCTTCCTACCAAAATGGAACTGTAGGGGAGAGTCTACTGAACAAGCCAGTACCTGCCGCATACCAATACTGCCATCTGTTGAGGAGTTATGAAGGTGGAGGCATTACTTTCCATTTGATCCTCGTAACAACTTACAAACTGCACAATTCATTGCAAGATGTATGTCCCAAAGAGACTGGATGGATTCCAGTGGCTCTATGATTGATCTAAATGGTTCAGTATTGGTGCTTGTGGTGCACCAATCTTCTCTGAAATCTCTCTTTTGCACGAACACATGCTTTTAACATTTCGGCTCCACTTTCCTGACAATGGGTTTGGTTCTCTCTCCTTCCCTTCTGGCCCTTTCAGGTACGACATCGTTTTCCTTCCCCCCTCGTTCCCAATGGTCGCCATGGAGAACCCATGCCTGACCTTCATTATCTCTTCCATCCTGGAGAGCGATGAGTTCCTCATCATCGATGTCATCCATGAAGTGGCGCACAGCTGGTTTGGCAACGCGGTTACCAACGCCACCTGGGAGGAGATGTGGCTGAGCGAGGGGCTGGCCACTTACGCTCAGCGCCGGATCACCACTGAGACATATGGTGAGCTGCTTGCTTTCTCTTAGGGTGATCAGGGCTTTTGGGGCACCTCAACTCTTCCTGCCATTGCCTAGGTGTCAAGACCCAGAAGCCTTAAGTAGAGCCAAACACAAGATAAAGAGTTCAAACACAGCTTTATTATACAAAAATAGCCTTTCAAAGCACTTAACTTCAGTGCAAAGAGTCAGAGCAGCAATTTGGCATCACGATACCAAGAACAAAAATATAACCCGGATTATAACACTGTTTAATCCGGGTTAAACACAAAGTTCAGCAATCTGCTTCAAAGTTTGCACAGTTCAAAAACACAGTCACAAAAGGTAGAAAACGAAGTCCCAAAACAATGCAATGTTCTATCACGAAGTTAGCAATGTCTTAAGTCCAAAAAGCTAAAAGCGTTGGTCAAACCAGTCCGTGGTCCAGCCGTAGTAATGTAAACACTGGAATGCAGGAATCACAGCAGCACAGGAACACAGGAATTTGTAGTCCAAGGACCCAAGCTCGATAGTTGGCAGTAACAAAGATTTATGTCCCATAAAGACACTTTGCCTTCTGCAAAGAGCCATACATTCTGAACCCACTTTTATCCTACAGTTCCTCATTAGAGGATGGTGAGCTCCCCACCCTTTCCTCATCGCTCTCAGCTGCTTCCATCCCCGCAGCTGAACCCGAGCTCACATCTCTCCACCTCTGCCAGCGTCTGCCAAGACTTAGATCTTGCCAAATGCTCCCTGGTTGCCAATCCCCTGTGAACCCCTCAAATTCATCACTGGAGGTGGGTTGGTTACAAATGTCCCTAATCTGTTGAACACGGGTCCAATCCAGCTCATCCTCCTCTCCCACATCACTCCCAGACCCATCACTCCTTTCAAACCTCATGAAATCCTCGTCCTCTGTAGGAGCGCTAAGTATTTCCTGGATGCGCTTCCTCTGAAGCTCCTCATCGGACTCCGGATCACGAGTAGCCCTCTTTACTCCCCTGCTCTCCTCCCCATCCCCCATTTCACAATCGGAGAAGCCCTCAAACGTCTCCGAATCACTTGGGGCCATGATTATCTCCCTAATGCGCTTTCGCTGTTGTTCCTCTTCTAACTCCTGCGCAGACATCTTCTCCCTTCTACCAGTAGTAGTAACGTTACCATCACGCTGAACTACAACACTAGGACTCCCAAGTAATATTGTAAGGAGGGAAATGCATTCTTAATTGAGTTCAAGTTGTGCCCACTCACAATGTGCTAAACAGCTAAATAGCTGCAAATCTGCTGTTGATCTATACCTGGCACTGGCAAACTTCAGCCTTCCAGGTGTTTTGGACTGCAAAAAAAGCTAGGCTGTTAGGAATTGTGGGAGTCGAAGTCCAAAACACCTGGAGGGCTGAAGTTTGCCCATACCTGACCTGAAGAGGTGCATTTATGTTTGGACAGGTGCTGCTTTTACCTGCCTGGAGACTGCCTTCCGCCTTGATGCCCTCCACAGACAAATGAAGCTCCTTGGTGAGGACAACCCTGTTAGCAAGCTTCAGGTTAAGCTGGAGCCAGGTACATTTTGCTTTTACAAAACAGGAGCTAGAGTACTTCTGGCTGACAGTGTCAAAACCTGTTAAATTTTATTGTATTTTCTTTTTTCTCTTCCTGAACACATTAAACTTAAATATAAATTTAATGTCACAGTGGTACCACACCACCTTTCAGTCTTCTCCAACCAACACATACCTTTCTCATAAGCTTTAGATTCCAGAGCCTTGATCATCTTGGTTGTCTTTCTCTGGACATGTTCCAGCTTGTCCATATCCTTCATGAATTGGAAACAGTATTCCAGGTGAGGTCTGACCAAAGCAGCACCAGCTACGTTGTCCGGATGCCCGATCACCGTCTCCCAAAGCAGTTACTCTACTCCCATCTCAAGAAAGGGAAATGCAATGTTGGTGGACAGGAAAAGTGATTTAAAGATGGGCTTAAAGGCAACCTCAAAAAATGTGGCATAGACACCGAGAACTGGGAAGCCCTGGCCCTTGAATGCTCCAACTGGAGGTCAGCTGTGACCAGCAGTGCTGCAGAATTAGAAGAGGAATAAATGAAGGGTGAAAGGAAGAAACATGCCAAGAGAAAAGCGCATCAAGCCAACCCTGACCAAGATCGCCTTCCACCTGGAAGCCCATGTCCTCACTGCGGGAAAACATGCGGATCAAGAATAGGACTCCACTGCCACCTACGGACCCACCACCAAGACACCACATCTAGAAGACCATCATCCTCGAACTACGAGGGATTGTCTAAGACAGTGTTTCTCAACCTGGGGGTCAGGACCCCTGGGGGGTCGCGAGGGGGTGTCAGAGGGGTCACCAAAGACCATCGGAAAGCACAATATTTTCTGTTGGTCATGGGGGTTCTGTGTGGGAAGTTTGGCCCAATTTTATCATTGGTGGGGTTCATAATGCTCTTTGATTGTAGGTGAACTATAAATCCCAGTAACTACAATTCCCAAATGCCTATGTCTACTTTCCCCAAACTGCACCGGTGTTCATATTTGGACATATTGAGTGTTTGTGCCAAGTTTGGTCCAGATCCATCATTGTTTGAGTCCACAGCGCTCCCTGGATGTAGATGAACTACAACTCCAAAACTCAATGCCCACCAAACCCTTCCAGTATTTTCTGTTGGTCATGGGAGTTCTGTGTACCACTTTTGGTTCAGTTCTATCATTGGTGGAATTCAGAATGCTCTTTGATGGTAGGTGAACTATAAATCCCAGCAACTTGGCCAGTATTCGCATTTGGGCATATTGAGTATTCGTGTAGAGTTTGGTCCATATCCATCATTGTTTGTCTCTGCATTAATATAGTTGACGAGACTACTGTCAACTTGACCCTCAGATGATCTAAAGCCCTTTGATCATCTTGAAACACAATCACAGGCTGAACTCCAACACATTGATAAATATTGGATGGATTTTTATCCAGAATCGAGGGAGGAGAATGGAAGTTAGTTCCCATCCCATTGTAGATTATAAACTACAATGGCTTTCTTTTTGTATTCTTGGCTTTGAGCGCCATGTGTTGTGTATATCCTTACCAATACGTTGTTGTTGTTTCCTTCTCCTCCAGGTGTGAATCCTAGCAATCTGATGAACCTCTTCACGTATGAGAAAGGTTACTGCTTTGTTTACTACCTGTCTCAGCTCTGCGGAGACCCAATGCGCTTTGATGCCTTCCTCCGAGTTAGTAATTTGGGTTTCATGGCTGGGTTGTATCCACCTTTGTGTGTATATGATGAGGCCCTTACCTGTGTGCACTTTAGATGGGATATCTAGGGAAGCAAGGGAGGCAGCACCCGAAAGTTAGGGCCTCTGTGTTTGTGTTTGTTCCTTCTTTCTTTATCTATTTGATCTAAGTCATTGTAGAAATATTTGCTATCTATGGCAATGTGGCGCAGTGAGTTAAACTGCTGAACTTGCTGATCGAAAGGTTGATGGTTCAAATCCAGAGAACGAGGTGAGCTCCCACTGTTAGCCCCAGCTTCTGTCAACCTAGCAGTTCGAAAACATGCAAATGCGAGTAGATCAATTGGTACTGCTCCTATGGGAAGGTAATGACGCCCCATGCAGTCATGCTGGCCACATGACATTGGAGGTGTCTACGGACAACGCCGGCTCTTCGGCTTAGAAATGGAGATGAGCGCCAACCCCCAGAGTTGGACATGACTAGACTTAATGTAAGGGGAAACCTTTACCTTTACCTTATAGCAGTGTAGAGTGCATTGTAACCAGTGCTCTTTGATTGTAGGTGAACTATAAATAGCAGCAACTACAACTCCCAAATGACAAAATCAATATCCCCCAAACTCCACCTGTTTTCATATTTGGGTATATTGAGTATTTGTGTCAAATGAAGGATCTAGACCAAACTTGACCCAGCTAATTGCTGGTTTTGTCAAGTTTGGTCTAGATCCTTCATTGTTTAAATCCACAGTGCTCTCTGGATGTAGGTGAACTACAACTCCAAAACTCAAGGTCAATGTCCCGAAACCCTTCCAGTACTTTCTGTTGGTCATTGGAGTTTTGTGTGCCAAGTTTGGTTCAATTCCATCGTTGATGGAGTTCAGAATGCTCTTTGATTGTAGGTTAACTATAAATCCCAGCAACTACAACTCCCAAATGACAAAATCAATATCCCCCAAACTCCATCTGTGTTCATATTTGGGTATATTGAGTCTTTGTGTCAAGTTTGGTCCAGATCCATCATTGTTTGAGTCCACAGTGCTCTCTGGATGTAGGTGAACTACAACTCCAAAACTCAAGGTCAATGCCCACCAAACCCTTCCATTACTTTCTGTTGGTCATGGGAGTTTTGTGTGCCAGGTTTGGTTCAATTCCATCGTTGATGGAGTTCAGAATGCTCTTTGATTGTAGGTTAACTATAAATTTCAGCAACTACAACTCCCAAATGACAAAATCAAAAATTTTAGTGATGGTCACTCCTTGGGTTGGTAGGTGTCTTGTGGCCAAATTTGGCAGCAATTAGTCCAGCGGTTTTTGAGTTATGATGTCTCTCAAAACAAACAGAGCATTTATATATATATAGATTGTCTCCCTGCCGCCTTTGCTTTACTGCTAATTCCCCATGATTGCTCTCCCTCCCTGATATTTGAATGTTTTGCCTGTTTTTTCCCTTGATGTTTTCCAAGTCATTCACACGTTTTCTTTCCTCCTTTTCAGGCCTATATCGAGAAGTACAAGTTCACAAGCGTTGTGGCCCAGGACCTCTTGGATTCCTACCTGGCTTTCTTCCCAGAACTGAAGGAACAATGCATTGAGAGCAAAACAGGTGGGGCAAAAATAAATAAATAGGAAACTATAATATTTTTAAAATCATTTAAATATTTGTAATATTTTTGTGCATGAAAAGGAATCTTGTCTGCTGGAGCTAGGTGTGAATGTTTTAACTGACCACCTTGATTAGCATACAATGGGCTGACTGTGCCTGGAGCAAACTTTTGTTGAGAGGTAATTAGATGTCATTCACACCTAGCTCCAGCAGACAAGAGTCCTTTGTCTCACCCTGGTCATTCCACAGATATATAAACCCTTTTTCCTAGTTCCAACAGACCTCACTACCTCTGAGGATGCTTGCCATAGATGCAGGCGAAACGTCAGGAGAGAATGCCTCTAGACCATAGTCATACAGCCTGAAAAAACCTACAACAAACCAGTGATTCCGGCCATGAAAGCCTTCGACAATACTTTGTTTATGTTCATTGTGGCATTGAATCATGCCATTGTAAGCTGCCTTGAATTGCCTTCAGGCTGAGAAAGGCAGCATAGAAATGCAGTAAATAAATAAATAATAACATGGGCATGATCAAAAACAAAGATGGCAAGGACCTAACAGAAGCTGAAGAGATCAAGAAAAGGTGGCGAGATTATACAGAAGATCTATATAGGAAGGATAATAGTAGCGAGCATAGCTTTGATGGTGTGGTGAGTGAATTAGAACCAGACATCCTGAGGAGTGAGGTTGAATGGGCCTTAAGAAGCATTGCTAACAACAAGGCAGCAGGAGATGATGGGATCCCAGCTGAACTGTTTAAAATCTTGAAAGAGGATACTGTCAAGGTGATGCATGCCATATGCCAGCATATATGGAAAGCACAAGAATGGCCGTCTTGTCTGTCTCCTGAGGAATCTGTATAATAACCAAGTAGCAACAGTAAGAACTTACCATGGAAAAACAGACTGGTTCAAGATTGGGAAAGGGGTATGGCAGGGTTTTATACTCTCACCCAACCTATTCAACTGTTTTGCTTTCTGCATGCAGGCAAAAAGCAAAACTCCTTGTGTTACAAAGATCTAAGAAACAGAGGTGAAAAACAAGGAAGCAGGCCTGCACCACAGGACTCCCTCTGCCCCTGATTGCTCTGTACACAGGTATTGATTCTTCTTCTCTTCAACCTCCTGTGATCCATGTTGGTGTGTCTCTTGCAGGGCTCGAGTTCGAACGCTGGCTCAATGCAACGGGCCCTCCTTTAATTGAGCCAGACTTATCTCAGGGATCCAGTCTGACCAGTCCCGTGGAGACCCTCTTCAGCCTCTGGACCACGGAGCCTCTGGATGCGGTGTCTGTGGCAAACAGCGTCAACATTACCGAGTGGCAGACGTTCCAGACAGTGCTTTTCCTGGACAGGCTTCTGGATGGCTCACCGCTGCCTCATGGTGAGTTTTGCAGGGTGGACAGGAGAGGCAATACAGCTATAAATGAATTAAAATAAAATAAAACCCTGAAAATAAGGGAATTGGGTGGAATCATAGAATCAAAGAGAATCATAGAGTTGGAAGAGACCTCATGGGCCATCCAGTCCAACCTCATTCTGCCAAGAAGCAGGAATATTGCATTCAAATCACCCCTGACAGATGGCCATCCAGCCTCTGTTAAAAGCTTCCAAAGAAGGAGCCTCCACCACACTCCGGGGCAGAGAGTTCCACAGCTGAATGGCTCTCACAGTCAGGAAGTTCTTCCTCATGTTCAGATGGAATCTCCTCTCTTGTAGTTTGAAGCCATTGTTCCGCGTCCTAGTCTCCAAGGAAGAAGAAAACAAGCTTGCTCCCTCCTCCCTGTGGCTTCCTCTCACATATTTATACATGGCTATCATATCTCCTCTCAGCCTTCTCTTCTTCAGGCTAAACATGCCCAGCTCCTTAAGCCGCTCCTCATAGGGCTTGTTCTCCAGACCTTTTATCATTTTAGTCACTCTCCTCTGGACACATTCCAGCTTGTCAATATCTCTCTTGAATTGTGGTGCCCAGAATTGGACACAATATTCCAGGTGTGGTCTAACCAAAGTGGAATAGAGGGGTAGCATGACTTCCCTAGATCTAGACACTATGCTCCTATTGATGCAGGCCAAAATCCCATTGGCTTTTTTTGCCGCCACATCACATTGTTGGCTCATGTTTAACTTGTTGTCCACGAGGACTCCAAGATCATTTTCACACGTACTGCTCTCGAGCCAGGCATTGTCCCCCATTCTGTATCTTTGCATTTCGTTTTTCCTGCCAAAGTGGAGTATCTTGCATTTGTCACTGTTGAACTTCATTGTGTTAGTTTTGGCCCATCATGTCTCTAATCTGTCAAGAGTGTTTTGAATCCTGCTCCTGTCCTCTGGAGTATTGGCTATCCCTCCCAATTTGGTGTCGTCTGCAAACTTGATGATCATGCCTGGAGGATGGACTGAGACTATAACACCCGGAGACGTTACCAGACAGAAGTACAGATTTACTTTTTAGACTGGTTTCTGGTTCAAAATGGTTAGGAACGCCTGATAATTTGATAGCTCATTGAACCACCTGCAATTTTGGGACTAACTCTCAACCTCCTAACGTGTGCTTTTCAGAGGTGATATCAAAGCTCTCCGAATGCTATTCGGCCCACCTGGACAGCATGAACGCAGAGATTCGCATCCGCTGGCTGCAGATCATTGTCCGCAACGACTACTACCCTGACCTTCACAAAGTCCGGCGCTTCTTGGAAAACCAGGTATTGATTGATAGGTTATATAAAAAAGCTCTATATTGTCTGAGGGATGTGATGGAGGGCTGAAATATGTCGCCTGCAACGAATCCAGAAACAGTGTCTTCCTGGCCAAGTTTTTGCTGAGTGGTAATTTGTCAACATTTCCATTTCTCATTAAATACAAGCGACTGAGATGTTAGAACATAGTTTTTGAACATACTTTGGATATGTTGGTTGATGCTCTAAGTCCTTAAATTATAATCCAAAACACTGGGAGGGACCAAGTTTGGCAAAGCTTGCATTGTCTTGACCTAGAAATGAATCATCAGTTTCACGTTGAAGCTTCCTATCCTCGTTAGAACAATGGCAAAGCAAGATGAACTGTCAACAGATTGTAATTAATCAAATTGTTTAATTTATACCCTGCCTTTCTCCTAATATGGGTCTCAAGTTGTCTTAACACAAGACTAAAACAAAATAAAGCTAAAAACATGATAAAAAAACCCAAAACACAATTAAACACGATACTACATTGGTAAAGGTTTCCCCTTGACATTAAGTCTAGTTGCGTCTGACTCTGGGGAGTGGTGTTCATCTTCATTTGTAAGCTGAAGAGCTGGCGTTGTCCATAGACGCCTCCAAGGTCATGTGGCCTGCTTAACTGCATGGAGCGCCGTTACCTTCCTGCCGGAGCGGTACCTATTGATCTACTTACATTTTGCATGTTTTCAAACTGCTAGGTTGACAGAAGCTGGGGCTGACAGAAGGAGCTCACCCCACTCTCCAGATTTGAACTGCTGACCTTTCGGTCAGTAAGTTCTGCAGCTCAGCTGTTTAACCCACTGCGAGTCCCCATTAAAACACCTCTGTGTCAAAGTGTCGAAGGCTTTCATGGCTGGAATCACTAGGTTCTTGTGGGTTTTTTCGGGCTATAGGGCCATGTTCTAGAGGCATTTCTCCTGACATTTCGCCTGCATCTATGGCAAGCATCCTCATAAACAACCAGGCACATCTTAACACCTCTCAACAAAAGATTTTCCCAGGCTCAACCAGGCCTTCAAATGCTAATGAAGGTGGTCAGTTGAAACATTCACACCTAGCTCCAGCAGAGAAGAGCTCTTTGCCCCACCCCAGCCATTCCACAGATATATAAACCCATTGTCCTAATTCCAACAGACCTCACTACCTCTGAGGATGCTTGCCATAGATGCAGGCGAAACGTCAGGAGAAATGCCTCTAGAACATGGCCCTATAGCCCGAAAAAACCCACAAGAACCCATTAAAACACCATTATTATTATTATTATTATTATTATTATTATTATTATTATTATTATTTTACTGACACAAAAACACAGCAAATGAGATCTATATGCTGGATTTCATATCACAAAATCACAAGTCGAACACTTCCCAAGTGTCTAGGACTGTGTGATATATTTTCGAATGATGCACAGATCCAAGTCAGGTGGCCTTTTGCAGTTGACAGATCATGATTTTGTCAATGTTTATTTCTTCCAAATGCCAGCTGAGATCTTTTGGCACGGCACCCATTGTGCCTTTTACCACTGGGACCACCTGTACTAGCTTATGCCAGAGCCTTTGCAGTTCGATTTTGAGGTCAGCTGAAGAGTGGACCTAAGAGCACCTAACCCATTAGCACTATGGAGAAACAAACCAAAATGAAATCTATACTTGCTCTGTCGACGCCCAGGATAAGAAGGACCGCGGTGGATGCTGCTGATTCTGGACATCCATTGACAAGTGAGCATTGACAGAATCCATTGACAGAATCAAAATACAAATGAACAATCACAGAAGCGGCAGAAATATACAGTGCCAGAAAACCACACAACAACAACAACAACAACTATTATTATTTTGTGCCATCTGCCTGCGACAAAGAACTGGTGGGATCACAAGCCGGAAAAAGTTACAGAGAATGAACACGCCAAACTCCTCTGGGACTTCCGGATTCAGACAGACAGAGTTTTGGAGCATAATACTCCTGACCTCACAATCGTGTTAAAAAACAAAGTATGGATCATTGATGTTGCAATCCCAGGTGACAGCAGGATTGCAGAGAAACAACTGGAAAAGCTAACACAACATGAGGATTTAAAGACTGAACTGCAAAGACTGGCACAAGCCAGTCACAAGTCAAGGTGGTCCCAGTGGTGATCGGCACACTGGGTGCAGTGCCTAAAGACCTTGGCCTGCACTTAAACACAATTGGTGCCAATAAAATTACCATCTGCTAGCGGCAAAAGGAATCTGGAATCTGCACACATTATTTGCCGATACATCACACAGTCCTAGACACTTGGGAAGTGTCCGACGTGTGATCCAATTCAACAGCCAGCAGATAATTGTCTGCTGTGTGTCTGCTGTGTGTCTGCTGAGTGTCTGCTGTGGACTCATCTTGTTGTGTTTCGAAAGGTGGTCCCAGTGGTGATCGGCACACAGGGTGCACTGCCTAAAGACCTTGGCCTGCACTTAAACACAATCGGCGCTGAAAATTACCATCTGCCAGCTGCAAAAGGCCACCTTACTGGGATCTGCACACATTATTCGCCATACATCACACAGTCCTAGACACTTGGGAAGTGTCCGACGTGTGATCCAATACAACTGCCAACAGAGTGTCTGCTGTGGACTCAACTTGTTCTGTTTCTAATAATAACAGTTCCAGTAGTGATGGGCACACTGGGTGCAGTGCCTAAAGACCTTGGCCTGCACTTAAACACAATCGGCTGACAAAATTACCATCTGCCAGCTGCAGAAGGCCACCTTACTGGGATCTGCACGCATTATTCGCCGATACATCACACAGTCCTAGACACTTGGGAAGTGTCCGACGTGTGATCCAATACAACAGCCAGCAGAGTGTCTGCTGTGGACTCATCTTGTGGTGTTTCGAATAATAATAATAATAATAATAATAATAGTAATAATAATAATAATAATAATAGTAATAAGTGTACATTTCTCTGTGTTGGAATCCATCTTGTTAGACTTCCTGAGCTTAGGTTCTTATCTATTATGCTCTGTCATTTTTGTTTACTGTTGTCCTTCTTAATTCTTCCCTGCTCATCTTTTGAATGATGCCCCGCTTGTTCTGTTACAGATGTCCCGGATGTACACGATCCCATTGTACGAGGACCTCTGCACTGGCACCTTGAAGTCCTTTGCCTTAGAAGTTTTCTATCAGACCCAGAACCAGCTGCACCCCAACTTGCGGAAAACCATCCAGCAGATCTTGACGCAGGGCTTGAACCCGCTCCTTGCCATGGACACGACGGCGGTTACCACAGAGGCCCTGGCGGTTGGGTACGAGGACAGGTCCCCGGAAGCCGTCCACAGTGCCATTTCTCTCAGGGATGTAAACGTGTCTGCTTAGCGCACCAGCTCGTGCCGGGCATTTGAAGCTGGAGGGCGGGCAGCCAATGCAGGCAGGAAGGAAGGAGGCCATATGAAGAAAGCACTGCTCCCCCTTCGTGCCATAGCTCCACGATCTCCGCTCCACGATCTCCAGCCCACCACAAATGTGCCTTCAGGTGCCTGACATATTGGCACAGCTAGATATCAGGGACATATCTCCTTTTAGCTGCAAGCAGGAGCTGTTTTGGGATGGATCTTCTGACTTGATGCATCATGAATGTGAATTCCAGGGTGTCCATTGCAAGCAGGAAAAATAATAATAACAGTTTTGTTTCAGGCATCACCTGGCAGGTGGCTTGACCTCCAGGATGAGAGAGATAGAGAAAGTCGGCTTGATCTCCAAGACGAGATAGTTGGAGAACGTCGCCTTCGGGTGCGTATTGTTGAGGTAGTAAGATGAAGAGATGATCAGGATCATGGACTTTTGAAAGTGAGGCAGGGATTCACAAAGAAGAAGGTCTTTTTAAAAAATGGAACGAAAATGACAGTGAGGGGAACCTGTTTCCCTTTGTGCTCTTTACTGTGCGATTCAGGAATTGGAGATCTGGAGGAATCAAGTTTTAGGTGTCAAAGTTTGGGAGACTTGGGCAGGGATCCAACAGCCTCCTGCCTTTCCTTTCTCTTTCGTGAGATGATCGATACGCAAGTATTGTTAAATTGCATTAGATTTGGGAAAAATTTTCTCCAGCTCTGTTGCAAATCTTAAGCCTCAGCCTTCATCCGTGTCTGAGATATGGCTCTGAAAACAGTTGGAGAGCTATGTTACCTTGCTTCTTCTTGCAAATCTAAACATGGGCTGCATCAGCAAGGTGCAATCCACCCATATACATCTTGGGTTAGGTTGTTCAATTGCATTAGATTTGGGGGAAATATTCTCCAGCTCTGTTGCAAATCTTAAGCCTTCATCCGTGTCTGAGATGTGGCTCTGAAAACAGTTGGAGAGCTATGTTACCTTGCTTCTTCTTGCAAATCTAAACATGGGCTGCATCAGCAAGGTGCAATCCACCCATATACATCTTGGGTTAGGTTGTTCAATTGCATTAGATTTGGGGGAAATATTCTCCAGCTCTGTTGCAAATCTTAAGCCTCAGCCTTCATCCGTGTCTGAGATGTGGCTCTGAAAACAGTTGGAGAGCTATGTTACCTTGCTTCTTCTTCCAAATCTATACATGGTCTGCATCAGCAAGGTGCAATCCACCCAAAATACATTTTGGGGTAGGTTGTTCAACGTGTGCGCAAGAGAACGTCCTGGTGGATGCACTGGGACCAAAGATCATGCTGGATGCGTTCCCAGTGTTGGGAGCAAGTTAGGGCAACATTAAATTACATTATTTTTTTCCATTCAGAAATGTCTTTTTGAGACCCAGAAAAGCTTGTGTCTTACCAAAGACATTTTTTTGCAAACTTTTCTCCATATGAGAAAACGACTGTTGGATCTTAGAGTCAGCTTCTTCCAAGCCAAATGTGGGGTCAGAGCTACGTTGCTAGCCAACAATGTTTTTTTTAACCTACCCACACTGCTGTTCACCAAAACTTTTCTTTACTGATATTTAGGCCGGCAGGCAGACACAAACAAAACTCACTATGCAACGTCTTTCTCATACAGATAGCCTAGAAATGAGTGGAGAGGTAGCCGTGCGTGTGGCACTGGTGCACCGGTCAGATAGTGACCAACGCTGAGCAACGTGATAGAGGCTCAGATTTTCATGATGTGGGAATGGCTGGGTTTTTAATTTTTCATTGGAAGGGGAAGTTTGGGGTAATAATCAGAGCCGATGATTGAACAAAACAGGAGCCTTTTAAAAACAACCAGGAGAGTATTGTCGAAGGCTTTCATGGCCGGAATCACTGGGTTGCTATAGGTTTTTTTGGGCTTTATGGCCATGTTCTAGAGGCATTCTCTCCTGACGTTTCGCCTGCATCTATGGCAAGCATCCTCAGAGGTCACTACCTCTGAGGATGCTTGCCATAGATGCAGGCGAAACATCAGGAGAGAATGCCTCTAGAACATGGACATATAGCCTCCAAAAACCTACAACAACGCAGCCAGGAAAGTGCTGGATCTATTCACCACCTTTGAAAGGCATGGACTGTGTGGGAACATGGATTTGTTTACATCCTTTTGACCTTTGGGAGATGCCTTGCGCAAGAAGGCTGCTTTACTCTTTGTGGTAGATGGGCACACGAATGCATGCAGCAGTAATCTGTGAATTGAAGAGTCTTTTACCCTAGTAGTGCCCTTAGTAGCTTGGCACCATGGCACATGTCCATTGCACAATCAGACACACACAATTCTGCTGCCATGGCTTTTACCTGACTGCTGCTTCCGGCACATGTGGACGTTGCTCGTCATGCTAGTCGCCTTCCTATTGAAGAATTATTTTGGGTGGTGTTGCCCATTTTGAGGGGTGAGTTGTTGGTGGAGAGCAGTCACGTCATGACATGGATGGCAGGGATGGAGAAGCGAAGGCTGAGGTCCACCTTTTAAAAAGCCGTTTACAACCCCGTGCGAGTGGAGCTACTTGCCATTAACCTGATTTCTCCCCATCCTCTTGTTGATTATTTATTTTTTGTTGTGTGTGTGTTTGCCAACATAAGATAAAAAATGGGATTAAAGCAATAAAGAACCAGGGACTCTGAAAGATGATGCTTCGTAGGTTGTGAAATACTTTGCAATTTCAGGAAACTTTTTCTTTTCACTTTCACAGAGATTCACTTGACCTAAATAGCAGGGACTACGGCGGGGAATCATCCCCGTCTCAAAAGCAAATATATACGTATATCACAGAATTACCTCCCATTGGTAAGATGCCAAACAGTTAGTTGGACGTTCCTGGTACGCAGCACCACACTTCCAGCCTGGCAAAGACCAGCAGCCACTACGTTTGTCCTCCTGCTGCCTTAGGCCTCCGTTTTTACTCGATTTTTTCCCCCCGGGAGAATGTATGTAACCCTGGTGGAACTTCCTTTTAAATGTACATTGATGCCTTACAATAACATCACTGATAATTTGTTGAATTAAACTAAACTCTGTGACTTCCAAAGCTTTCTGGTTTGCTGCTCTTCTTTTCTGCCACGTGCTCTCTACACACGTTGTTGTAGTAGAGCCTGTAAGTAATGTTGCCAGCAGTAGTATGGGTGCCAGAAGGGGAAAAAGGGTCTGGAGAACAAGCCCTATGAGGAGCGGCTTAAGGAGCTGGGCATGTTTAGCCTGAAGAAGAGAAGGCTGAGAGGAGATATGATAGCGATGTATAAATATGTGAGAGGAAGCCACAGGGAGGAGGGAGCAAGCTTGTTTTCTGCTTCCCTGGAGACTAGGACGCAAAACAATGGCTTCAAACTACAAGAAAGGAGATTCCATCTGAACATGAGGAAGAACTTCCTGACTGTGAGAGCTGTTCAGCAGTGGAACTCTCTGCCCCGGAGTGTGGTGGAGGCTCCTTCTTTGGAAGCTTTTAAACAGAGGCTGGATGGCCATCTGTCAGGGGTGATTTGAATGCAATATTCCTGCTTCTTGGCAGAATGGGGTTGGACTGGATGGCCCATGAGGTCTCTTCCAACTCTTTGATTCTATGATTCTAGGAGTCAGATGAGGAACAACAGAGGAAAAGGATCCGGGATATACTTATGGCACCTACCGATGAGGATTCATTTGAGGGTGTGCTGGTACAGCTATACCAGAAGCTCCCACTTTATTTGCCTTGTATTAAGTGCTTGCTTGCAGCCCAAGGCTTGGGATTCCGCAGAAGGGTGGCTTCCTGTTAAAGTTTGCAGTTATAGGGCAGGCCACCTGTTCATCATCATTAGGTTCTCTAGTCCCTCCCACTTTTGGGTATAGAGAAGTGAAGGGAGCCATTTTTTAGTTAGTCTTAGCAAGAATATCTAATGTACAGGATGTGTCCAGGTCTTCTGTGCAAAAGCTTCAACCCTTAAGACTTCCTGGGGGAGAACAGTCTTAAGAGCATCTAAAGATTCCCAAAGGTGCCAAGGAAACAGCCTTACAGCCCTGAGGAAATTTTTGGAGGGAATAACCGCTTTAAACACCAAGAACTCCAGCTAAGTGACTACAGGCCTACTGGTAGGTCCACTCGGTTTTGAGATGCAGTTCAGCCCGGTAGTGGATCCACATCAGGTTTAGGTTCACAGTTAGCCTGGGAGGAGCTAGAAAGGGATTTTCCTTTGAAGTAAAGCAAAGAAACAGTTAGAAGCCACCAGTTGCTTGAAGCCTGGAAGCATTTGTTTAACCTTTGAAGACAAAAGAAGTTTCTGTTTGATTGTTCATCAATAAAAGACTTCGTTGTATTTAAGCTCAAGCCCTCTAAAGACTGTTTATGGGGGGGAAATCTCTAAAGGCTTCTCTTCGGGCCTCCTGGCTTCCTGTTGGGCTCAAGTTGCACATCTTGTTTTAAAAGCACTTCATTTTAAGCCCAGCAGCGACAGAACAGAGGGGTTCTCTGAGGACGAAGGGTCAATGTGTGAAGGAGAGGAAGAAGATACAATGGATGGGAATAGGGGAACAAAGAGGGTTACTTGTGAGCAGGAGTCAGATCAGGAGCGACAGAGAAAGAGGATCCGGGATATACTTACTGCTCCTACAGATGAGGAATCATTTGTGGGTTTCTCTGGGGGTGATGGGTTAGGGAGTGATGAAGACGGGGATGACACATTGGACTGGACTAAGGTAAAAGAGGTACAAGCTGTATATGCGGAGCCAACGTCTAGTGATACATTTGTAGGGTTCTCTGGTAATGAGGACTGGCAATCGGGGAATACATCTGAGTCTTGGGGGGATCTAAGTCTTGACAGAAGATGGAGAAGTTGGAGAGATGGGAGTAGGAATTCACATGTGGAATCAAGAACAGCTGCAAGGGATAATGATGGGGCAGAGGTCAGCTCATCTAATGATGATGATGTGTAAGATAAAAGTAGGCTCTGAAATGGGGAATCTTTGCAGAAGGCAAGGTGTTGGTATACATTCGTGCACTGGGTACTGTTTGGACTTGTCACTGCCTGTTCCGTATTGGCGTTGGGTTTGGGATCTGCAGGTTGCTGCTCCTGTTCGTGTGTGCTTTCGACTTGGCTTGGATTCTCATGAGTGTGGATTTCCCCCTTCCTTGTTCTTGGACCGGTTTGACTACAACGCTGCTTCCATGGACCTTGGAACTTCGCTACTTTGGATTCTGCTTGCTACAACTCTGGACTTTGCTTGACTATGCTTACTTCCCTGCGGCTTCTCTGTTTTGTTAACCATTTGCATCCTGTGCTGTTTTGTGTGGCTTTCGAAGTACTTTGTTCTTTTCTCTGGATAATCTGGATTATTACTTTGGTTAACCTTTTTGAACCAGGACTGGTTTTTACCTTTGAGTTCTGACCAGAGACATTGAATTAAGTGTCTCTGAGTCTTTTTCCTTTGTTTAATTAACTCTGTTTTGGAACTAACTCTGAGTCTGGCCCTTTAAGGCGCCTGTGTTCCGACAAACGTCTTTTGTTTTTTAATACTGGGAGCCAGATTTTGTTCATTTTCATGGTTTCCTCCTTTCTGTTGAAATTGTCCACATGCTTGTGTATTTCAATGGCTTCTCTGTGCAGTCTGACAACAGAAAGGAGGAAACCATGAAAATGAACAAAATCTGGCTACCAGTATTAAAAAATTCAAGAATTACAACAGCACAACAACAGAGAGGAAACAAACAAGGACATCTAATCACCTCTCAACAAAAGTTTCCCCCAGGTACTGCCAGGCCATCAAATGCTAATCAAGGTGGTCAGTTGAAACATTCACACCTAGCTCCAGCAGACAAGAGTCCATTGTCCCTCCCTGGTATTTCCACAGATATATAAACCCCCTTTCCCTAGTTCCAACAAACCTCACTACCTCTGAGGATGCTTGCCATAGATGCTGGCGAAACGTCAGGAGAAAATGCCTCTAGAACATGGCCATATAGCCCGAAAAAACCTACAACAACCCAGTGATTCCGGCCATGAAAGCCTTCGAGAATACAATGCATGCAATGCTAATCAAGGTGGTCAGTTGAAACACTCACACCTAGCTAATATATGCTAATAAAGGTGGTCAGTTGAAACATTCACACCTAGCTAATATATGCTAATATATGTTAATCAAGGTGGTCAGTTGAAACATTCACACCTAGCTAATATATGCTATTCAAGGTGGTCAGTTGAAACATTCACACCTAGCTAATATATGCTAATCAAGGTGGTCAGTTGAAACATTCACACCTAGCTAATATATGCTAATCAAGGTGGTCAGTTGAAACATTCACACCTAGCTAATATATGCTATTCAAGGTGGTCAGTTGAAACATTCACACCTAGCTAATATATGCTAATCAAGGTGGTCAGTTGAAACATTCACACCTAGCTAATATATACTAATATATGCTAATCAAGGTGGTCAGTTGAAACATTCACACCTAGCTAATATATGCTATTCAAGGTGGTCAGTTGAAACATTCACACCTAGCTAATATATGCTAATCAAGGTGGTCAGTTGAAACATTCACACCTAGCTAATATATACTAATATATGCTAATCAAGGTGGTCAGTTGAAACAATCACACCTAGCTAATATATGCTAATCAAGGTGGTCAGTTGAAACATTCACACCTAGCTAATATATGCTAACATATTAGCATATATTATATATGCTAATATAATATATAATATATGCTAATATATGCTAATCAAGGTGGTCAGTTGAAACATTCACACCTAGCTAATATATACTAATATATGCTAATCAAGGTGGTCAGTTGAAACATTCACACCTAGCTAATATATACTAATATATGCTAATCAAGGTGGTCAGTTGAAACATTCACACCTAGCTAATATATGCTATTCAAGGTGGTCAGTTGAAACATTCACACCTAGCTAATATATGCTAATCAAGGTGGTCAGTTGAAACATTCACACCTAGCTAATATATGCTAATATATGTTAATCAAGGTGGTCAGTTGAAACATTCACACCTAGCTAATATATGCTATTCAAGGTGGTCAGTTGAAACATTCACACCTAGCTAATATATGCTAATCAAGGTGGTCAGTTGAAACATTCACACCTAGCTAATATATACTAATATATGCTATTCAAGGTGGTCAGTTGAAACATTCACACCTAGCTAATATATGCTAATATATGCTAATCAAGGTGGTCAGTTGAAACATTCACACCTAGCTAATATATACTAATATATGCTAATCAAGGTGGTCAGTTGAAACAATCACACCTAGCTAATATATGCTAATCAAGGTGGTCAGTTGAAACATTCACACCTAGCTAATATATGCTAACATATTAGCATATATTATATATGCTAATATAATATATAATATATGCTAATATATGCTAATCAAGGTGGTCAGCTGAAACATTCACACCTAGCTCCAGCAGACAAGAGTCCTTTGTCTCACCCTGGTCGTTCCACAGATATATAAACCCCTTTTCCCTAGTTCCAACAGACCTCACTACCTCTGAGGATGCTTGCCATAGATGCAGGCGAAACGTCAGGAGAGAATGCCTCTAGAACATGGCCATATAGCCCGGAAAAACCTACAACAACCCAATGCATACAATGTTTTTTCCTTCCCATTCAGAGCCATGCTGCCTCTTTAAACCTCCAAAAGGGAGGGGAAAAACAAAAGCAAGCTCAACCCACTTTCCAAGGCATACTGGGAGGTGTAGTTTTTTCTCTCTTGCAATGGGTGATGGGAGGACCTTGGCTCCTCCCTGAAGCCTTGGCATGATGGGAGTGTTAGTTTTCTGGGCCACAAAGGCGGTGTCCCGGTTTGCACCTTCTCCCTTTTTGCAAATGCACAGCTCAGGGGTGGCTTCATGAAGCTGAGCCTGGAAGAGATGGAGCCCTGGATGCACTTTGGGTGAAAGGTTGGGCTTGTGGGGAAGGGGAAGAAGGCTGGCTTGGGGGTCGCATTTTGGGCAGAGGGTGGGGTGGAGGGGCTTGCAATTCTGCATGCATGCTCCTTTCCTTGCATGCATGCATGCATGGTGGAGCCTTCCCATTTTGCATGCATGCATTCCTCCAATTCTGCATGCATGCTCCTTTCCTTGCATGGTGGTTCCTTCCCATTTTGCATGCATGCATTACTGCAATTCTGCATGCTTGGGTTTGCAAAAGAAGTGGGAGATCTAGTAGGAAGAATGCAAAGGTAGCAAGGAGAGAGCTTTTGTTTGCTAGGGCTTGGAGAGGAATGGGAGGATTTGAGGATGCTGTTTGGAAAAATAAGGTAATTTTGGGCATTTGGTCAGTGAAGCCAGGTTTTTCCAAAATTCATGACACAGAAGGAATGACAATAATAGAGAAGGTGCTCCATTTGGAGTCTGCCCAATGAAACTATCCAATGGGAGTTGTAGTTTCACAAGGTATTTTGCCTTCACTGTCAAAAGGTGCTGGGGCCTCACTAAACTTCTTAATTTTGACAGATTTTAATACATTTTAAGATGTGTATTTATAGAATATTTACAATGTTTACATGTTTTAATTATGCTGCAACCCGCCTCGAGCCACGAGAGGTGTGTAAGAAATATAATAATAATAATAATAATAATAATAATAATAATAATAATAGTTTGCTGTGGACTCATCTTGTTGTGTTTCAAATAATAGTTCTATTATTATTATTATTATTATTATTATTATTATTATAGTTTGCTGTGGACTTGTGTTTCAAATAATAATAGTTCTATTATTATCAAATAATAATAATAATAATAATAATTAGTCTGCTGTGGACTCATCTTGTTGTGTTTCAAATAATAATAGTTATATTATTATTATTGTTATTATTATTATACTATAACCCCCAGGATTCGGTCGCATTGAGCCACAGCAAAGTAGTGTCAAACTGCATTAAATCTGCAGTGTAGATGCAACTTCTGGGATAGCCACTGATGTGCCTTTGAAGGTGGTAGCACAGAGAAATATTATTTATGTATTTATGACATTTATATCCCGCTTAGAGCAGCTTACAAGTTATATGTACATACACTATATTATATTATTGGCATAGCACAATATTAGTATTATATATTGTTATACTGTACTACACCACTATACTGCAATATTATTAGTAATGTTGCATGTACGGTAATGTATAATATTTAATTGTTATATTGTTATATTGTATTAGTATTATATTGTATCACAATATTATGATCAATATTATATGTACATACAATATATTATAATTATTAGCATAGCACAGTATTGGTATTATGTATGACTATATTGTACTATGCCACTATACTGCAATATTATTAGTAATATTACATGTAATATATAATATCTAATTATTATATTGTATTAGTAATATATGTACATAAAATATATTATGATTATTAGCATAGCACAATATTAGCATTATATATTACTGTATTGTACTATACCACTTTACTGCAATATTATTAGTAATATTACATGCAATATATAATATCTAATTATTATATTGTATTACAATATTATGATCAATATTATATGTACATACAATATATTATAATTATTTGCATAGTACAATATTAATATTATATATGACTATATTGTACTGTACCACTGTACTGCAATATAAATAGTAATATTACATATAATATATAATATCTAATTATTATATTGTATTATTAGTATTATATTGTGTTTACAATATTGTGATCAATATTATATGTTCATATAATATATTAAAATTATTAGCATAGCACAATATTAGTATTATATATTACTATATTGTACTACACCAATATACTGCAATATTATTAGTAATATTACACATAATATAAAATATGTAATTATCATATTGTATTATTACTAGTATTATATTGTATTAAAATATTACAATCAATATTATATGTACATACAATATATTATAATTATTAGCATAGCACAATATTAGTATTATTTTTGACTATATTGTACTATAATACTATATTGCAATATTATTAGTAATATTACAAGTAATGTATAATATTTAATTATTATATTATTATATAGTGTTATTTTTAGTATTATACTGTATTACAATATTATGATCAATATTATATGTACATACAATATATTAAAATTATTAGCATAGCACAATATTAGTATCATGTATATTGTACATACCACTATTCTGCAATATTGTTAGTAATGTTACATGTAATGTATAATATCTAATTATTATATTGTATTATTATTAGTATTATATTGTATTACAATATTATGATCAATAGTATATGCACATACAATATATTATAATTATTAGCATAGCACAATATTAGTATTATATGTTACTGCATTGTACTATGCCACTATATTGCAATATTATTAGTAATATATGTAATATATTAGTAATATATGTAATATATAATATTATTTATTTCCTGGGTTGTTGTAGGTTTTTTTCAGGCTCTATGGCCATGTTCTAGAGGCATTTTCTCTTGACGTTTCGCCTGCATCTATGGCAAGCATCCTCAGAGGTAGATGCAGGTGAAACGTCAGGAGAAAATGCCTCTAGAACATGGCCATATAGCCCGAAAAAAACCTACAACAACCCCGTGATTCCGGCCATGAAAGCCTTCGACAATATATTTATTTACTATATTTGTATACCACCCCTCTCAACCTGGAGGCGACTCGAGGTGGTTTACAGTCGGCAATTAATGCCCCCAAACAACATAAAATACAGTTAAAAGCATTGCATATAATATAAACCATATAAAAGCAATTAAAAATAAAAACCATAAAGCACAAGTCCTCAGTGTCTCATCACTAAATGCATTTTTCCGTCGCATCGTATATACTAGTAATAATACGATATAATAATTGCTATAATATACAATTATTATATCATATTATTACTAGTATTATATTGTATGACGTCATAATATTATTATCAATAATATATAACAATATGTCCCCAGCAATATATAATAATATATCCCCAGCAATATATAATAATATATCCAAAGCAATACATAACAATATATTCCCAGCAGTATATCTGAAAAGCAAAGGCTAGTTCATACAGGGGAATATGGCGCTTCAGATAGCCTGGAACTTTATGAGGCTTAGAAGGGATTAATCCAGCGCTTTCTGCTTAGGGGATTCAAAAGCTACGAGATTAAACCATCCTATTGCTTTTAGGGAAGTATTTCTTAGCATTTTTGTATTAGAAAGGAGAGACAACAAGATAAACAGACGGTGTCATTTTATGTGCTTCCATTATATGCAGGTTTGTATCCCTTAATATTTTAGATATTTCCACTGCCAGGTTTATAATAGCAGTTGGCAGGCATCCCTTTGTTTTTAAAGAGTTTTATTTCTTCCCTCCTTCCCTCCAGCTCTAGTCATTTAATTTATGTCCTAAATTTGTCCTAGTGTGGGATTTACAGCAGCTGGTAGATTAAAACATAGTTTTAATGACCTGAAGGTTGGCAGTTCACATCCACGCGATGGGGTGAGCTCCCGCTGTTAGCCCTAGCTCCTGCCAACCTAGCAGTGCGAAAACATGCAAATGTGAGTAGATCAATAGGTACTGCTTTGGCAGGAAAAAGGCAAAAAGGCACTCTAAGCAGTCATGCCGGCCGCACAACCAAGAGTTGTCTACGGACACAGGCTCCTTGGCTTGGAAATGGAGAAAGAGCACCTCCCCTCCAGTCAGAGATGAGCACCACCTCCAAGAGCCGGAAATGGAAGGAGAAGCCTTTGCCTTTGTTTGTCTATTTGTGTTTCATTGTATGTCATGTAATAAGGCATTGAATGTTTGCCTATATCTGTGTATGTATGTATACACACACACACACACACACACTTAATCTGCTCTGAGTTCCCTCATGGAGAAGGGGGGGAATATAAATAAAGGATTATTATTATTATTATTATTATTATTATTATTATTATTATTATTTACACAAAAACACATTATGTCACAGCAAACAAGATCTATATGCTGGATTTTGTATCACAAAATCACAAGTCAAACACTTCCCAAGTGTCTAGGATTGTTATGTATTTTCAAATGATGCTCACAGATCAAAGTAAGGTGGCCTTTTGCAGTTGACAGATCCTGATTTTGTCAATGTTTATTGTTTCCAAATGCCGGCTGAGGTCTTTTGGCATGGCACCCAGTGCGCCAATGACTACTGGGACCACCTGTACTGGTTTATGCCAGAGTCTTTGCAGTTCAGTTTTGAGGTCCTGATAATGGTTGAGTTTTTCCTGTTGTTTTTCCTCAGTCTGGATTTGAAAGTCCCACAGTATTTTTGTGTGTTCATTTTCCACAACCTTTGCAGGTTTATGATCCCACCAATTCTTTACTGCTGGCAGGTGGTACTTGTGACATAAGTTCTAGTAAATCATTTGGGCCACAGAGTTGTGCCTTTGTTTGTAGTCCCATCTGTGCGATTTTCTTGCACAGTCTGCATTTTGGGTCATCAGCTGATTTTTCTTGCTCCTGGGCTGCAAGAATCAGGCCTTCTGTTTCCTTCTTTAGTGTTGTTATTATTATTATTACAGTAAAAATAATGGTTCTAATATTTTTTTAATTAAACAATCCAACCTAGTAAAAATAGCAGTGATTTAAACAGGTTTGAAAAAAATATTTAAACAGCCTCATAGTACTTTGTAGATTTAAATAATGTTTGTACAGTACAAGGCCGATGTATTCTACAATATAGATTAGGCATGGGCCAACTTTGGCCCTCCAGGTGTTTTGGACTTCAACTCCCACAATTCCTAACAGCCGGTAGGCTGTTAGGAATTGTGGGAGTTGAAGTCCAAAACACCTGGAGGGCCAAAGTTGACCCATGCCTGGTATAATTGCATTTTGCCAACCTTGATGATAAATATCTGTATCTTGTCTTGCTTTCCAGATTCCCTATGAGTCTGCTGTGATGTCTGAAGAAGACTATTTAAAGTGATGAAGAAAAGAACGGACATGGTATTATATTATTGCATTGGCCTACACATAGGTTGGTGCCTCAGATGTTAGTCCTGTTTTGGGGTATATTTGACCCAATGGTTCCAAAAAAATAGCCTTATCAGCTTTCCTTTATCAGCTCTAGCTTTTGAGATGAAGAACATAAGGTGGCATCTTCCAGTTGCCATCTGATTTGCCCATAGAAAGCAATATCTGAAATGCAATTACAGAATGGGGGACAGTGCCTGGCTCAAGAGCAGTACGTGTGAAAAAGATCTTGGAGTCCTCATGGACAACAAGTTAAACATGAGCCAACAATGTGGTGTGGCGGCAAAAAAAGCCAATGGGATTTTGGCCTGCATCAATAGGAGCATAGTGTCTAGATCTAGGGAAGTCATGCTACCCCTCTATTCTGCCTTGGTTAGACCACACCTGGAATATTGTGTCCAATTCTGGGCACCACAATTCAAGAGAGATATTGACAAGCTGGAATGTGTCCAGAGGAGGGCGACTAAAATGATCAAGGGTCTGGAGAACAAGCCCTATGAGGAGCGGCTTAAGGAGCTGGGCATGTTTAGCCTGAAGAAGAGAAGGCTGAGAGGAGATATGATAGCCATGTATAAATATGTGAGAGGAAGCCACAGGGAGGAGGGCGCAAGCTTGTTTTCTGCTTCCTTGGAGACTAGGACGCAATGGAGCGATGGCTTCAAACTACAAGAGAGGAGATTCCATCTGAACATGAGGAAGAACTTCCTGACTGTGAGAGCTGTTCAGCAGTGGAACTCTCTGCCGCAGAGTGTGGTAGAGGCTCCTTCTTTGGAGGCTTTTAAACAGAAGCTGGATGGCCATCTGTCGGGGGTGCTTTGAATGCAGTTTTCCTGCTTCTTGGCAGGGGGTTGGACTGGATGGCCCATGAGGTCTCCTCCAACTCTGTGATTCTATTATTCTATCTATGATTCTATATCTAAGAAGTGTTATTCTCTCTAGGTTTCCAGGATATTTCTATGGATATTTCTAGAAGCTGACCATAGAATTGCACTGGGGGCCTAGAAGGAAAGGACACCTCTCTGGGCATTGGTAGATCCTCCTGTGTAGTTCTATGGTATTCAAAGTGCTCCCCTTGTAACTGAAATAGTGCTTTCAATGAACTCATATCAAAAGTGGACCCACTCTGTTTGTGTGTATAATGGTAATGATGGCAATTCCTTCAATATTAATTTTGTCCCACCCTTATTTCTCTTAATTTGTTTTGCAGGCTTAAATCAAGAGTCCTGCAGTTTTGGGAAATAGCTGCAAATACTTGGCCGTTTTGTAGGAGATGCTGGGAGACAGGGTAACGACGGATCTCGCGGGAGACCTTTACAAGGACCTCTCGTTTCCGGCCAACGATGACTCTCTCTTTTTTAACTACTCGACTCCGTTGGCTCATTTCAGAGGAGAGATTTGTTGGCTGAGACCTCAGGTTGGTTTCTCACTGATGTCTTCTTTGGGTGGGTTCCCAGTATGGTCCAAGGAGCATCTCTCACACACATCTCTATAAATAAAAATGTAATGTTCGTTTGTGGGATTAACAGAACTCAAAAACCACTGGATGAATTGACTCCAAATTTGGACACAAGACACTTAACAACCCAATGTATGTCCTTCACTAATAAAAACACTGAAAAACACAGCAGAAGGGACTTAAAAAGCCCCCCAAAGCTAAATGACAATACAGAAAAAAGGAAGAAAGGAAGGGAGAGAGAAAGAGAGAGAGAGAGAAAGGGAGAAAGAGAGAGAGAAAGAAAGGGAGAAAGAGAAAAAGAGAGAGAAAGAAAGAGAGTAAGAGAGAGAGAAAGAAAGAGAAAAGTAGGGAAAGAAAGAAGGAAAGGGAGAAGGAAGCATGGAACAAAAGAGAGAAGGAAGGAGGTAGAGAAGGAAGAAAGGAGAGAGAGGGAAAGAAAAAAGCGGGAAGGAAGGAAAGTTAGAAGGAAAGAAGGAGAAAAGGAAAGAAAAAAAAAGGGAAAGATGGAAGGAAAGAAAGAGCGAAAGAAGGGGGGAAGATGTAGAGAAAGAGGGAGGGAAAGAAAGAAGGAAAGGGAGAAGGAAGCATGGAAGCAAAGAGAGAAGGAAGGAGTAGAGAAGGAAGAAAGAAGAGAGAGAGAGGGAAAGAAAAAAGGGGGAAGGAAGGAAAGTTAGAGAAGGAAAGAAGGAGAAAAAGAAAGAAAAAAAGGGAAAGATGGAAGGAAAGAAAGAGCGAAAGAAGGGGGGAAGATGTAGAGAAAGAGGGAGGGAAAGAAAGAAGGAAAGGGAGAAGGAAGCATGGAACCAAAGAGAGAAGGAAGGAAAGAGGTAGAGAAGAAAGAAAGGAGAGAAAGAGGGAGGGAAAGAAAAAGGGGGAAGGAAGGAAAGTTAGAGAAGGAAGGAGAAAAGGAAAGATAAAAGGGAAAGATGGAAGGAAAGAAAGAGCAAAAGAATGGGGAAAGATGTAGAGAAAGAGGGAGGGAAAGAAAGAAGGAAAGGGAGAAGGAAGCATGGAAGTAAAGTGCGAAGGAAGGAAAGAGGTAGAGAAGGAAGAAAGGAGAGAAAGAGGGAGGGAAAAAAGGGGGAAGGACGGAAAGAGAGAAGGAAGGAAGAAGAGAAGGAAAGACGGGAAGGAAGGAAAGAGGGAGTGAAAGAAGGAGGGAAAGAAGGAGAGAAAGAGGGAAGGTTGGCCACAGCAACGTGTGGCGGGTACAGCTAGTATAGATATATAAAAGCTGTACCTGCCATGCATTGCTGTGGCCAACCTTTCCTCCCTCTTTCTCTCCTTTCTTTCTTATCTCTCCTTCCTCCCTCCCTTCCTTCCTTCCTTCCTTCCTTCCTTCCTTCCTTCCTTCCTTCCTTCCTTCCTTCCTTCCTTCCTTCCTTCCTTCCTTTTTCTTTCCTTTTTTCTTCCTTCCCTTCCTTCCCCACCTTTTCTTTCCCTTCCTCTTTCTCCCCTTTCTTCCTTCTCTACCTATTCTGGGACTGCAACTCCCAGCAGTCCTCCTGATCTCTCTCTCTCTCTCTCTCTCTCTAATCTATCTATCTGAAGGATTGCTGGGAGTTGCAATCCAGGAATAGGAAATTAGAAATATGCAGGGTTTGGGATGCTCTCAAAGAAATCCAAGAAGAAATCTTGCAGCTTGGAAACCATGCATTTGGATGATCCTCCGATCCTCCTCTCCTAAAGGGCCTGGTCTCAGGGATGCTGAGAGCTGTAGTCCAAAAGAGTGTGGATGTGTTATTTGTGTGTTTTGTTTGCCAGGGGAGTCGTTTTTGCACATGCTGTAGCGTCTTTTGCTTTTTTGGCTTTTTAAGACACAACATGAGGAACTGTATTAAGGGGTCGCGGCATTAGGAAGGTTGAGAACCACTGCTCTAAACTCTTTGCAACTTGGAGGTTCATTTTGAAAGAAGTTGGTCCTGCTGGTTTCTGCTTATGCTTCAATCACATCCTGAATGCCTAGTGCTCTTGATACTGCTGATATCTTATGTGTTTCGTGAGCTGTTGAATAATATTACTTGGAAGCATAGCGCGTGGGTGCAGTTACACTGCAGAGTTAATGCAGTTTGACATCACTATAACTGCTATGGCTCAATATAATGGGAATTTCTAGACTTGTAGTTTGATAAGAAGGCTGGTGCCTCACCAAAATACAACTCCCAGGATTCCATAGCATTGAGCCATTACAACTAAAGTGCTATCAAACTGCATTAATTGTACAATGTAGATGCATCCTAGGTGTTGTTGAACTGTGATTTTTAAAATTTTCAAATTTGCTTTTTTTCTGTTGCCATCACGTTGTTTCCTTTGTAAAACTTACCTTCTTCCTTTTCCCTTCTAGGAGATATGCTCTCTACCTCGCTTATTTTCAGACAATCATTATGAGTGGCAAGTCAAGCAAGGGATGCTGGGAGATTGCTGGTTCCTCTGCGCTTGTGCAGCTTTACAGAAGAGTAAATACCTTTTAGCCAAGGTATGGGCTTTTTAAAAATTGTGTTAGAGCCATATGGTTGTCCATGCCAGGATCAGAAATGCATTGCATGTTTTGGTGGAGTGAGATCATGAAATCCTAGAGTTGGATGAGACCTCATGGAGCATCCAGTCCAACCCCATTCTGCCAAGGAAAATTGCATTCAAAGCACCCCCAACAGATGGCCATCCAGCCTCTGTTTAAAAGCTTCCAAAGAAGGAGCCTCCACCACACTCAGCAGAGAGTTCCACTGCTGAATAGCTCTCACAGTTAGGAAGTTCTTCCTCATGTTCAGGTGGAATCTCCTTTCCTGTCATTTGAAGCCATTGTTCCATTGCATCCTAGTCTCCAGGGCAGCAGAAAACAAGCTTGCTCCCTCCTCCCTGTGGCTTCCTCTCACATATTTATACATGGCTATCATATCTCCTCTCAGCCTTCTCTTCTTCAGGCTAAACATGCCCAGCTCTTTAAGCCGCTCCTCATAGGGCTTGTTCTCCAGACCCTTGATCATTTTAGTCGCCCTCCTCTGGACACATTCCAGCTTGTCAATATCTCTCTTGAATTGTGGTGCCCAGAATTATCTGAATCAACTAATAAGCAATGTATCTGTATAAACACATGAAGTTTGTAAGTAAATCAACTATGTTACTTTTCAACGAAGACTACTTATTTTTGGTGTCTTGAGAGCATGGTTTAAAAACAATATGGGAGAGTAGAGTTTTTTGGGCATCTGAAGTAACACTTCTGAAGATCTATTTATTTTGTGCATTGGCATAATCTTTGTTACTAACAGTTCAGAGATAAACTAGGTATATCAGTTGAGAAACTCAATTTGCCTTCTATGGGTATTATTTACCAAGAGATTCACTCAATTGAGTTTTTTCTCAATTCTCAGGAAGATCATACTTTACAAAAAGTTTATGATGATTCCAAATGGTGTGAATGCCAGTTAATCTCCAAAAGGTCATCCTTTCCAAAAGGCTTTGGAGAGTCTGTTTTCCCTAAAAGAGTTGGATGGCCATTGGGGTCTCTTCCAACTTTGTGGTTGTAACATATTTATTTATTTATGACATTTCTACCCTGCCTTTCTCAGCCCGGAGGGGACTCAAGGAAGCTTTACATATAGGCAAGGATTCGATGCCTTAAAACACAATGTACACTTAAATAAATATTAAAATAGAATTAAAAAGTACATTAAAAACTATTAAAACATTTTAAAACAATACATTCAGAGTTAAACATGTAATCCACGAGTGTAATTTGGACCATTCCGATGGTCATTGCACATTGTTCCAAGTCTATCTATTGTACAAGTTCTCTAAAGGCTTGGTCACAAAGCCACGTTTTCACTCTCTAGTGGAAGGTCAGGGGGTAGGGGGTTGATCTAACATCCTTGGGGAGGGAGTTCCACAGCCAATGGGCCACCACTGAGAAGGCCCTGTCTCTTGTCTCTGCCAATCGTGCCTGTGAGGGAGGCGGGACCAAGAGCAGGGTCTCCCCAGATGATCTTAAACTCCATGATGGTTCATAGAGGGAGATACGTTCAGACAGATAAGCTGGGCCAGAACCATTTAGGGATTTATTGGCTAAAGCCAGCACTTTGAGTTGTGATTGGTAGCCAGTGGAGCGGATGTAACCGGGGGGGGGGGGGGTGTATGCTGCCTGTACGTTGCTCCAGTGAGCAATCTGGCTGCCACCCATTGGACCATTTGTAGCTTGCGAACAGTCTTCAAAGGCACCCCCACATAGAGTGTGTTGCAGTAGTCTATTTGGGATGTAACCAGAGCATGGCCAAGTCTGACTTCTCAAGGTATGGGAAGATATGAATCCTATTCAAGAGAAAACTGGCCTTTAAATCAAATATATCAATATGTGATGGCTATTCCGATCCCATCTGTTTATGCCGACTTGCTGGCCCCATCTTCTGTTTTCCGCAGGTGATCCCTCCTGGTCAGCCCAGTTGGAGAGATGAGAAATACAGAGGCTGTTTCACTTGTCGCATCTGGCAGTTCGGACACTGGGTGGAGGTCACCATAGACGACCGCCTGCCTTGCTTGGGAGGGAAACTCTGCTTCTCCCAGTGCCAGATGGAGGATGTGTTTTGGCTCCCGCTGCTGGAAAAAGCTTATGCCAAGTATGTGAAGTGCAGCTGTGCCTTAACATATATAGTATCATGAGATAGTGGACCTTATTGCATGAACCCACTAGTCCTCTACAGTTGTGTTTATCATTGATAGTGGGTACATTCAATTATGCAGTGGCCCTGATTTGCCATTTTCCTTGTCGTCCCCCTTCCCACTGTTTGGGAAAGGGAAACAGACACATTGAGATTATCAAGAGGGAGGGGAGTAGAAGTGAAATCCCATCTTCTGATATCACTTTACTGCCAGCAGGCCAGCATAGAACCGGAAGGGACCCAGTGCACTAAGGTAAAACCTTAGTAAAACTTGGTTTTACTAAGTAAAACTAAGTAAACTTAGTAAAACTTAGTAAAACTTAGTAAAACTAAGGTAAAACCTTAGTGCACTATTCCTAGGTAAAACCCATCAATCGTTCCTAAGTCTACGCTCGTGACACTTACTTCTGTGCAATGTTTTCCTTCTGGTCCCCATCAATAGCTAAGGTCAGGATAAACATGATGGGAAGGTAGACCAGCAATGGGATTGTAAAGATGCCACCACTTTGTAACGATGCTACCACTTTGTAAAAATGACACCAGAAGCAGTAGGACCGTTACTGATTTATCAGGGTCTCCTACTATTTGTAATGGATTTATAAAATTGATAACACAGCTAATAGCTTATAATATTTTGTTGGGCTTTCTTTAATGTGTAGCGCGGCTTGACTTGAAAGTATTCATAACAAAGACTTGGCTTTAAGAGAAACTGTAACAAGTTTATTGAAGTATAGAAGAAGCTTAATGGTTTCAATGTTTCTTAACTCCTAGAGGCCCATTTCTTTAGAGGTTACATTTATAACATTTCATAAAACAACTCTTGAGAGGACTGTTCCTTCCACTAAACAGGTTTTAAACTTATTTTTCTTCAAACTGAGTTTCTTTCCTTAACAGTTCACTTCAGGTACTAGCTTATTCTTTCCTGATGTTATTTCTGTGCAGTAAAGATTTTTACTGGAGTTCTCTCCCCCTTTTTGCTCATACACTAACTACTAATCTAAATAAGTCAACTTGACCTACCCAAACCACACAGGCTAAAAGTCTAAACCTTCCTGGTTCTCAACACAGTAGAACCAGCCTTTCCCTGTAGTTCTCTAACTACAGACTACTTCCCTGATTCTCAACACTGTAGAACCAGCCTTTCCTGCAGTTCTCAGACTACAGACTGACCGTTTTAAAATGCCTGCCCTGCCAAGTGGCAGTTGGCTCCTCCTCTTTTTCCATGGCAACCCAGCTCAGAGTGAGCTGAACTGGCTCCCATCCCCCCAGTTATGCTATTTTAAATACTTACTCTTTTAAACACCTATCTATAATTATACATAACTGTAGGTTAAAATTCACACTTCACCACAGGGATGCACATTGTTAATGTGATAGGGTCCATGACCAAAGACGACAGTACAGCTGCAATGCCAGTTTACTAGTCTCGTGCAATAAACTCCAGCATCTAATATGGGATTGTTCTTTAATTTTTGTTCTCCCCACTCTCTCCAGGGCTTAAATATTATTATATTTCTTTGTTATGGTGTGAAGACGCTAAATCAGTGTCTAGAATTTCATTTAGATCAGAAGAAAGTTGGGTAAGAATCCATACAATTCTGGGATTGTCCTTTTACCTTTTGCTTAGTTTGGATCTTTGAACCTCAGTTGAGTCATTTTGACTTCTAAAGAGTGTTCAAGGTTGATTTGCTCTCAAACCCATTTATTGGTCATTTTGGCCATCCATGGCTTCCATAGAACTCTTGGGTTCATTTTGTTCTTCTCCTGCTTTTGCAGCTATATGCAGAAACTAGAAATACAATATAGTATGGTTGATCCTGCCTTTGGTCTTCAGTGATATGCCTCTGACAATTTTCTTTTTGTTTCATTTTTGGTCTATACATACGTTTTTAGGGTACATGGCTCTTATGAGCAACTCTGGGCCGGGCAAGTTGCAGATGCTCTTGTGGATCTCACCGGAGGCTTAGCAGAAAGGTGGACCCTAAAAGACCCCGGGCGAAGCACAGAGAGGGAGAGGGCAGGCAAAGTCTTGGAGAAATCAGTCTTTAGGAGACTGATGAACCTCAAGGAGAAATGCGTTATGAGCTGCTCTGTCTTCAGCTCACGGCAAGGTAAGGAGAGACTTCTTCAGAAGGTTTCTGGGTGGTCCAATTGGTGAGAACATTTCCCAAAGATAAAGCTGCTCATCTCATCCAGTCCTTCTTTGGTCCTTTGTTTGTGCTGGAAAGGTTCTTCCAAGTCACAGAATCTTAAAGAGTTTGAAGGACCATGAAGGCCACCTCGTCCATTCTTCTACCTTGCAGAACTCCTCAAAGATCTCCATCCAGCCCTTATTTAAGGACTTTCAAAGTTGACTACCCTCTGAGGCATTGTTGGACAGCAGGACTCCTCAAATATCTCCATCCAGCTCTTATTTAAGGACCTTCAGAGTTGACTACCATCTGAGGCAGTGTATCCATTGTTAAACAGTTAAACAGTTGTTAAACAGCACTTATAGTCAAGATGTTCTATCTAATATTTAGGTGGAAACTCTTTTCTTGTAAACTCTTTTTCTCCCTGCTGAACTTAGACAGGCGCCTTCCCTTATGGCCTTTCGCAAGGGCCTGAAAACATGGCTTTTCGAATTGGCCTTCAACTGAGTGCTATGTTATTGGAAATGACGACCGGAATGGACTATGACTATGAGATTGATTATGACCCCAGGATATGACGAAGCGGATTTTTAGTATAAGTAGTTGTCATGTAGTAGTAGATTGTGTTTATTGTCTTGATTTATTGTAAACTGTCTTTCTATGTTGTTGTACACCGCCACGAGTCGCCCTAGGGCTGAGAGTGGCGGTTAATAAGTGCAAGAAATAAATAAATAATAAATAATTGTAATTTGGATCCACTGTCTCATGGTCTAGTCTGTGGAGCAACAGATGGGTTGCTTTCCACACCTCTGTCCTCTTCTGAACGTGGCCCAGTCACTTTCTTCTTAGTTGTGACCATGCATCATTGAAAGCAGTCCACATTTTCTGGTGAAAGAAGTAGGGAGACAATTCCCACCACATTCTCCAATTTATCTTTGGCAGATTTGGTTATTCACATATTTATTAAAATAGTCTTATTGAGGAATTTCTAGTATAACTCTAGCCACATTTGCTGGAAACCACCCATACAGTTGTATTGGAGGACATGGTGGAAGCTACTCTGTATATACGTGGATGGAACTGAATATTGGATAATGTCCTTGCCTTTTCTTTATGCCAGGGACCAGCGAATTGGGGGAGTTCCATGCCTTCATTGTGGTTGACATGCAAGACCTCTCCAAAGTGTCCAGGAAAGATGTTATCCTGCTGAGGATACGCAACCCTTGGGGAAGACGTTGTTGGAAAGGGCCTTGGAGGGAAGGGTGAGTCCTCGATCTTTTAGGAGACCTCTCCCTTTGGGACTATCTATATATCTATCCATCCATCTTTCTAACTCAGGCATGGGCAAACTCTGGCCCTCCAGGTGTTTTAGACTTCAACTCCGGCAATTCCTAACTTATTTACTTAGGCGATCCCTTGTTGTCCGAGTAGGATAATCTTCCAGGGTTGGTCTGTAGGTGACTGTGGAGCCCTATTCTTGACCTGCATGTTCTCCCGCAGGGAGGGCATTGGATTCCAGGTGGAAGGCGGTCCCAGTCAGGGTTGGCTTGACACGCCTTCCTCTTGGCACGTTTCTCTGTTTCGCCCTCCATTTGTGCCTCTTCAAATTATGCAGCACTGCTGTTCACAGCTGATCTCCAGCTGGAGTGCTCACAGGCCAGGGCTCCCCAGTTCTCAGTGTCTATGCCAGTTTTTAAGGTTGGCTTTGAGCCCATCTTTAAATCTCTTTTCCTGCCCGCCAATATTCCGTTTTCCGTTCTTGAGTTCAGAGTAGAGCAACTGCTTTGGGAGATGGTGGTCAGGCATCCGGACAACGTGGCCGGTCCAGCGGAGTTGATGGCAGAGGACTATCGCTTCAGTGCTGGTGGTCTTTGCTTCTTCCAGCATGCTGACATTTGTCCGCTTGTCTTCCCAAGAGATTTGCAGGATTTTCCGGAGGCAACGCTGATGGAATCGTTCCAGGAGTTGCATGTGACGTCTGTAGACAGTCCATGTCTCACAGGCAAATTCTCAAAAGCAATTTGCCATTTTAATATGCCATTGTATAAAATAGGATTTGAACATCCACCAATTTTGGTATCATTGGGAGGCTGGGACCAATCTCAAGTGGATACCGAGGACCCACTGTATACCTACACACACAAGAGCTATCCAAGGTATTGGATGTGTTTGGGAAAATGGAGTCAGGCACCTTGGATCTCCTTTAAACCTAGATTAAAACCTGGAGTATATTCATTGTCCTGCTAACCTAGTACTGTGAAGCAAGCTGTTCCAGGTTATATTGTTTACTGTTGACGACTGTGGTTATGTCTGTTGTTGTAGGAGCTCAGCCGACTGGGGTTGTTGCAGTGCCTCAGGATGAGGATTATGGTTATGTTCAATTTCCTTCAGAGGAGGACCCTTCAGAGATTTCCATGTTGGATTTTAATGTAGATTCTCAGGGAATTGTGAGTGAAGAAGAGGGCACAGAAAAAACTGCAGAGCAAAGGGAGTTGGAAGACTCTGGGATTGTTAGTTCTCATGATAGAATGGTTTCCAGACAGTCTGTTGGGAACCAGTTTGGGTTGCTAGATAAGGAAAGTGAAAGGAATGTGTTAACAAGCAACCGGGAGGAATCAACCTTTGATAGAAGGGGTCAAATCTGTCAAGATCGCCACCTGCAAGGGGGAGTCAGAAGGTCTGTCAGGATAAGGGAAAAGAGGAATTTGAAGGAGAGTTCTCAAGGGAATCGGAATGCATTTTGTGTAGGTCTTTTTGAATAAATATAGGGCTTTCACAGCATTGCCTTCAGTGAGCGCAACGTCGGTTACCGGTCAAGTCTTGTATGTATGTCATGTCAAGATTCATGGAACTCTCTGCTCAAGACTCATGTTCAAGTTGCTGTTGGTGAATGTTTTCCTGTGTAATTCTTCTGTGGATTTTGGATCTGTGCAACCTTGTCCCCTGGCTTTCAAGAGACTTTGGACATTTTCCTCTGTGGGTTTTAAGGACTATGCATTTGTGGCTTTTGCTGTGGAATTAAGAGTCAACTCCGTTCTCTTTTATGGATTATATTTGCCTACCTGCTGGGTTGGATTGTTTTTAGACTTTCTTTCATAATCTTTTACTTGCCTTTTTCACTTTTTTCGTTTACTGCTTGCATTTATTCAATAAACTGTTTATTTGCTAAAGAACTTTGGAGTGTTTGTGGGTTCAAAGGTGTGCTTCCAGCCTTGGTGTGTGACAGTTGTATTATGGGAACCAAGAAATGTTTATGAGAGTTGGTACTAGAGATCTCCTTAAACACATATATAAAAACTGCAGAAGGTATACTTTTGGTGGTGAAATATCCCATGGAGTTGATGCTCATTGGTTTGCCTTTTGCCAATTTCCAGCTTGGAAGCCCTTTCCCTGCTTGGGATGGACATCACTGTTGGGAATCATGTGGTTGTTAGACTGCAACTCCCAGTGTTCCTTACCATTGGTTATTCTGGCAAGGCCTGATGGGATTTGTAATCCAGAGAGCTTTGGTGTGACATGATTCCCACTTCTCTGTGAAATGTGCAGAACTTTTTAAATAGGAAGCACAATAACTATCTATTTTTATTATATTGGGGTGTTTTTTCTACTTCAGAGGTCCTGGGTGGAGCCAACTAGATCCGGTGGTTGCTGCAGAGTTGTTGTCCCAGATACAGGAAGGTGAATTCTGGGTAGAAGAGGAAGAATTTTTTGCAGAATTCGACGAGATCATCACTGGGTACCCGATTACGGAAGAGGGGCAGCTGCAGAGCCTCTACACAGGTATGATGTAGACCAGGGATGGGAAAACTTGGGCCCTCCAGGTGTTTTGGACCTCAACTCCTGTTGTGACTCAGCTGGAATCACAGAGTGATAGTGTCAATGATTCTGATGGGGATGATGGTATTCAGAGTCAGATGCAAAGCAAGGATGTCCCTGTGTTAGATGAAGAAGACCAGGAACGGGGCAGAAGTTCAGTTGTTTCCCACAGTAAGGGATGACGTTGGGGAAAGTGAAACTACTGAGAGGAAGGATGTAGGAAGGGAGGATAGTTCTCAGCCAGTTAATGAGGGAATTGACCTTGATGGAGCCGGAGGTTTAGATAGAGCTGATCGGTTGGAATTCAAAGTGAGAAGGAGTGTCAGGATCGCTAGCAGGCGAGAGAGGGAGGCTCTGGGCCAGAGGAACGCCTTCATGTTGTCTCAAGAGTATTAAACAGGCTGTTTGAATGTGCCTCAGTGTCAGAGCAACTTCCCACTTCAATCAAGAGATTTTGGATTCATCTTGCAGCTTTTCATGTTCATGTTGATTCACCTAATGATTCACCGTCTTGCTATGTCCGGAGTTCGCGGTCAGGCCCTCAATTGGTTCGACTCATTTCTCCGAAACTGGAGCCAATGCGTGGAGTATATGGATCAAGTCTCTGAAAGATCTCCCCTCCTATGTGGGGTACCCCAAGGTGCAATTCTCTCCCCTCTTCTCTTCAACATCTATGTTAGACCCCTTGCTAGTTTGGCTCGGAGTTTCGGCCTAGTGCTATCAATATGCGGACGACACCCAACTCCTTTTGCGTTTGGAGCCTGGAGCAACGTCAATACCAGACAATTTCACCTTATGTCTGGAGGCTCTGTCGAACTGGCTACGTGCTAGTAGACTGAAGGTGAACCCAGCGAAGACTGAGATTCTCTGGCATGGCCGCTCGATTGGTCTGACCCATTTGCTACCCACCTTCAATGGTGCTGCCCTATCTCCTTCGCCTACCGTTAAGAGCTTGGGTGTCGTTTTGGATTCGCAGCTGACAATGGAAGCTCAGGTCGCTGCTGCCAGCAAACAGGCCTTTTTCCATCTACGACAAGCGAGGCAATTGGCACCCTACCTATCTGATGAGGCTCTGGCAACTGTCATCCATGCCACGGTCACGTCTAGGCTGGACTATTGCAACGCCCTGTATGTGGGCCTTCCGATGTCTACGACCGAAAGCTCCGTATTGTTCAGAATGCGGCAGCCAGGCTACTCACAAGAACACCCATGAAATGCCATATAACACCAGTGTTGCGGCATTTGCATTGGCTTCCAACTGATTACCGTGGTCTATATAAGATGCTAGTTCTGACCTTTAAATTCTTTACGGCCAGGGTCCATCGTACCTTAGGGACCGCCTCTCCTTCTCCCATCATCGGAGGTCGCAACGACCAGCCCAACGTGACTTACTCCATATACCGGGTCCTAGAGAAGTGCACTTGGAAAGGACCAGGCGCAGGTGGGCTTTCTCTATTTCTGCCCCTGCCTTGTGGAATTCCTTGCCGCCCTACATGAGAGCCATGCGTGAGTTAGGGCCTTTTACCCTAGCACTTAAGACTTGGCTTTTTACTAGAGCTTTTGATCTTTGTTAATTTTATCAATGTCTGTATGTATGTTTTTTTATCCTTTACAATTTTAGCTTGTAAATCGCCTAGAGCATCTTGGATGGAGGGCGATTAATAAGTAATTAAATGATGATGATGATATACATATGTTTCAGAACTTTGTCATGTTCTCATGGAACTTTGCTCTGCCTATGCCTTTATGGATCTTGTTTGCCTGTGTTACCTTGGATTGATCTTTTGAAATATACTTTTGCCTTTTGAACTTTTTATCTTTTATTTTATTTATGTCTTAAGCAAGGTGCTATTACCCTGAGGTGTGAGAGTCCCACAATTTCTAGCAACCTGTCTGTGTTTCCATCATCTTCCCCAACAGACAGGGTGCTGAGCCATACTCAGAAACTGTATGGCTCTTGGGTGAGAGGCCAATCGGCGGGCGGCTGCCGGAACAACAGCACCTTCCCTACCAACCCCAAGTTCTGGCTGAGGGTCTGTGAGCAGAGCGAGGTGTGCATCGCTCTCCTGCAGAAGCACCGCAAGCACAGCACGGATTGGGCAGGCCGAATTCGGAACTGGCCCCGTTTAGTGGAAGCGGAACCGCCCGTGGCCGATGGCATCCGAGGGAAGAACTACCACGCGGTGGGGCTGCACCTATGGAAGGTAATTGGAGGGTGAGCTGGGTATAGTGGGATGGGGTCAATAGGGTGAAGCATTTCTTTAAGTGCAATTTTTGTTGCCCTCCAGACGCTGGACTCCAACTTCTATATACCATATCATTAGAAATCGTGACTAGAGCTAATGGAAGTTATGATACAGTAACATCTGGAAGGCTGCAGTTTGTTCTGTTTAATCAGGAGAGGGGTTTGGACTTAGTTACAAGACTTGTGGATATGATGCCTGACTTTAAAAGGTCATTTGAACTTTTACCTAACCTCTAGGTATGTGCGATCCATAAAAAAAATGGTTTAAAAGTACTTATAAAACACTGGTTGTTTGTTGCCAAAGTGTTTCTAAAGTATACTTAGTAAAAAAACTTGTTACTATAAATGAATTTTCATTTCATTATTTCATTACTAAATGGAATTTAATACCGGGATTGTGGCGCAGCTGGCTGAGTGTCAGCTGCATTAAGATCACTCTGACCAAAAGGTCATGAGTTCGAAGCCAGCCCGGGTTGGAGTGGGCTTCCAACCAATTGTGTAGCCTGTTGTCGACCTTTGCAACCCGAAAGACAGTTGCATCTGTCAAGTAGGAAAATTAGGTACCACCTTGTGTGGGGAGGCTAAATTAACTAATTTATGAGGCCATAAAAAAGACTCCAGCAAAGCACTCCAGCAAAAGCATGCGGGGAATGCGGAAGTACTTCATCAGTGTCGCAGATGGACGATGAAAGAAATAGCCTCTGTGTATGTCTGTATACATTGTATGTCAAAATAGGCATTGAATGTTTGCCATATATGTGTTCATTGTAATCCGCCCTGAGTCCCCTGCGGTGTGAGAAGGGCGGAATATAAATACTGTAAATAAATAATAAATAAATAAAATTTTGTTACTATTTCGTTACAGTAATTGCGCATGCACATAACTAAATTGCTATCAGTGAGGAAACTTCAGGAGCGCCTATATCCCTCATTTTTAAAGCTGCTGAAGTGAAGCTTTCTACCACTGTTAGCCCACAAAATGTCATAACAATTCACTTATCCATGGAATTTTGGGGAATTTTCTAATTTTTTATAAACATTTTAAAAAAAACTACAAGAGCTATCTAAAATGCACAAGATAACCAATTCACAGCACAGTCAAAAACACACAAACACTATAAAAATTCTACAAACACTCCTTATTAAAATGCAGTTCCATAAAATGTATGTATCAAAGCATTTCTGTAGAATACACATTAATCGCACAGGACAGAGACCGGAAAAGTGAGACTTCAATAAGAATATCATGGGATTGTTGTAGGTTTTTTTGGGCTATATGGCCATGTTCTAGAGGCATTCTCTCCTGACATTTCGCCTGCATCTATGGCAAGCATCCTCAGAGGTAGTGAGGTCTGTTGGAAGTAGGAAAAAGGGTTTATATATCTGTGGAATGACCAGGGTGAGACAAAGGACTCTTGTCTGCTGGAGCTAGGTGTGAATGTTTCAACTGACCACCTTGATTAGCATTTGTTGCCTGGCAGTGCCTGGAGCAATCTTTTGTTGAGAGGTGATTAGAGGTCCTTGTTTGTTTCCTCTCTGTTGTTGTGCTGTTGTAATTTTAGAGTTTTTTTTTAATACTGGTAGCCAGATTTTGTTCATTTTCATGGTTTTCCTTTCTGTTGAAATTGTCCACATGCTTGTGGATTTCAATGGCTTCTCTGTGTAGTCTGACATGGTGGTTGTGAGAGTGGTCCAGCATTTCTGTGTTCTCAAATAATATGCTGTGTCCATGTTGGTTCATCAGGTGCTCTGCTATGGCTGACTTCTCTGGTTGAAGTAGTCTGCAGTGCCTTTCATGTTTGGGCAATGCTGCTGCGTTTGGTGGTCCCTATGTAGACTTGTCCACAGCTGCATGGTATACGGTAGACTCCTGCAGAGGTGAGAGGATCCCTCTTGTCCTTTGCTGAACGTAGCATTTGTTGGATTTTCTTGGTGGGTTAGATAGTTTGTATGTTGTGTTTCCTCATCAGCTTCCCTCTGCGGTCAGTGGTTCCCTTGATGTATGGCAAGAACACTTTTCCTCTGGGTGGATCTTCGTCTTGACTCTCGTGGCTTGTTCTCGGTCTTGCAGATCTTCTGATGTCTGAACATCATGGGACATCTCTCAAGTCCGTTTGCCAACTTTGTTCTGCTTACTTGTGCTCCATTTCATTTCCTTTTTTAAATGATTACTTGTGCTCCATTTCTTCTCCTTTTTTTAGCCAGAGAAGGTGATTTTGAGTGTTGTAATCCCCAAGAAATAACCTTCTAAGCTCTATTGTAGGCTTTTCATGGTGCCCATTGGGATGGGTGAGAAAGGAAACATTGTAAATAGCCTTCCCTGGACATGACATCCATGACCTACTCCAAACAACTTTGTAAAATTAGAACTATTTCCACATTGAGATGTACAGAATCATATTGATTTTTCCCCTTGTCTTTCCCTCTAGGTGGAAAAGAAACAGTTTAACCTTCCAAAGACCCTCTCCATGCCCCCGATTTCAGGCACCATTTGCCATTCCTACAACCGGGAAGTGCACCTTCATTGTGACCTCTCTCCTGGGTATTACCTTGTTGTCCCAAGCACTTTCCTCAATGATGCTGAAGGAAACTTCCTCCTTCGGGTCTTCGCTAGCGGGCGAATCTCACTCAGGTGTGTTCATCTGAAGGACCTTCACGGGGAGATGGGGACATTCTTATAAGTCTCTGGTATCAGTGAAGCAAAGTGTCCAGTCTGGATTCTCATCTGAACTTTAACAATTCTGAGGATTGAATCCTCAAATTGTTGTTGTGGCTCTTCATGTCATTTCTGGATTACAGAAACCCAAAGTAAACCTATCATGGAGTTCTCTTAGCAAGATACTTTAAACGGGCCTTTGCCTTTGCTTTCCTCTGAAGGCCCAACACCACTTAATTTAAGCCTGACCAAGTAGCCATGAGATCATGCTGAACGCACTTTGGCTTCAAGGTCTTCTCACAGATTCTCTCAGACCATCTAATTAGTCTATTTTTCACTCCCTCAATTCTCAAATCTAATCTGGCTTCTTGGGAAAACTCTCCATCAGCCAAAGAGAACTGGTTCCAAGAGAACTGGCTTTACTATCCCTGTTTGCTTGGGAACAATAACAGGAATGCAAAAATCACCTCTCCTAGAGGTGACAGACTCATCAGAGTTGATGTCCAAAACACCTGGATGGCCAAAGTTTGCCCATGCCAGGTTTAAATTCATTGCTTTGCATTGTTGGAATCCATATTCCAAGAGAGGAAAATCATAATTTCTTGTCCTCCTCTCTTTTTTCTACTTTCTTTTCTTTCTCCTCCCCTTTTTCACTTTTCTTCATTCCAATAGCGAGATAAAGCTGCCTTCACCTGACAACGCGGTTCGTGAGGAGCTCCCTGGAGGCGAGTGGGAGACGGCCCGGATGGAGGGATGTTGGAAGAAAGGGCAGAGTGCAGGAGGAAGCAGGAACTTTCCCTCCTTCCACAGCAATCCCCGCCTCCCTCTCTCGGTCCCTCCGGGCGCGGGGCAGAGGGGCATCCGCGTTGCCCTCCGCCAGCACTGCCCAGACAACAAGTGCCACCCAATTGGGTTTCATATCTTCCAGGTCAGTGATTGTAGGTCAGGCATAGCAAACTTCAGCCCTCCTTCTTCTGCCCACATAAGAAAAAAACCTATTAGAGGGTCTTAACTATGGTGAGCATTACAGTTGTTGGAAGCAGAGGTGATTACATTGCAAAACCTGAGACATAGATATCTTGTTCTGGATCTGGGTTAAGAGTTCCTGCATAATTTCCAGTTAAAAATGGAAAACTCTACCTTGAGAAGAGAAAGACAACTATAAATTTGAGAGTAAAAGCTACGCATGTTCAAAATGTTAGTTTTAATGCTGGTGGATATCTGCTTCACCCTTTCTATCTTACCATAGAATATACCCGTCTGCTTTTATTATGCTGATAATGATGTTAACAACAACAACAACAACAACAACAAAAACAACAACTATTATTATTATTATTATTTACATTTAAATCCCAAGTTAGCTCCACAACTTTCTGAATACTTTTTGTAGAAATTCCCAGTTTACATTGTTAAATGCCTTTTCTGCATCTAAAATTATTATTATTATATTGATTTATACTGCTCTTTATCTCCCCAAAAGGGACTCAAAGCGACTTAATATAAAAGCATTAGCATACGAATTTAAATATATAAATATACAAACATTAAAACAGAATTAAACACAACCAGTACTAAAAAAATTCAGTTAAAATCCATCAAAATATATTCAGAGTTAAAAACCACACCGTTGTTGTTGTTATCATGTGAGATGTGACTGTTTTCTTTTAATATAGATCCAAGTGTTCTTGTAATATGCAGCAGACTCTCAGTTAACTGGAACTCACAAACAAGCAGAACTCTTAAGCAACCATAACAAAATAAAAAAATGCATACAGCAGTAACAAAGCTGTTTTTAATAATACAGTAAAACTGTGTTACATTAAGTTAAGCTTGTCTTTATTTGTCCTAATTTGATTTTAATTACTGTATTTTAATATTCACATCAAGTCGATACAGAGTTTATAGTATGGTATAGTATGTATGGGGAATAATAATAAGTAGGTCTATTTTTAATGCTAACTCTCAAGTCATCAGAAACTATGTTTATCTGGAACCAACCAATAATAATAATTATAATTATAATAATAATAGCACTTTATTTATATTCCACTCTGTTTCTCCAAGGGGATTCAGAGCAGATTACAACATACACAAATAGGCAAACATTCAGTGCCTTTAATACAGTGGAATAACAATGACACAAATACACAGAACAAAAGTAAAGGCTTCCCCTTTAATCTCCGTCTCCTGGAGGCGATGCTCTACTCTGGCCATGGGGAGGTGCTCTTTTTCCATTTTGAAGCCAAGGAGCCTGTTTTCCATAGAGATCTCGTGGTCGTGTTTTGCCGGCATGGCTACATGGGCACCTTTATTACCTTCCCGACGAAGTGGTACCTATTGATCTACTCACATTTGCATGTTTTCAAACTGCTAGGTTGGCAGAAGCTGGAGCTAACAGTGGGAGCTCATCCCGACCTGTGGATTCAAGCTGCCAACCTTTAGGTCAGCAGATTCAACAGTTTAATGGTTTAACCTGTTGCGCCACCGCAGTACAACGGATTAACCCAATCCCCACAGGTGCCAGTTAACTTGAGAGTCTACACTATGGTTCACTGTTATGTGCAGTTCTGGATCCATGTGAAGTCTGGGACTGTATCTCTAGAAATAATAATAATAATAATAATAATAATAATAATAATAATAATACCTACCTCACTGTGTGGCTCAAGGCAAAGATAAGAGGAGGGGTTATTTTGTAATAGACCCTTTTACAGTAAGCAGTTAATAGCCACAGTTAATACAAACCATGGCTAGCAAAATAGCTTAAACTAGAAGTCTTGGATCACATTTTCAGTCCCAACCTAAACAGAGTTTGTGGGTTGCATGAGGTTTAAAATTCATGCTGTGACTTAGACATAAAACCAGGTTGATGCCAGGAATATATCATAAAAGGGAAGCATCCTTATCAGCAAGTTGCTGTGAGTTTTCTGGGCTGTCTGTCATGTTGCAGAAGCATTCTCTCCTGGCGTTTCGCCCACATCTATGCCAGGCATCCTCAGAGGTTGTGAGGTCTGTTGGAAACTAGGCAAGTGAGGTTAACATATCTGTGGAATGTCCAGGGTGGGGGAAAGAACTCTTGTCTGTTTGGAGCAATTGTGAATATTTTAACTGGCCACCTTGATTACCATTGAATGGCCTTGTGGCTTCAAAGCTGGCTGGTTGCCGCCTGGGGGGGATTCTTATCAGCCTCTGATGGTTTGCAGGTTCCCACTGACAACAACAATGTCAAAATGCCTTCAGCAGCCTTCTTGCACTTGGAGCCCGTGGTTAGTTGTGTGCCTCACAGCTACTCGCAAGAAGTCAGCCAGCTTTGCCGACTGCCTTCGGGAAATTATGCCATCGTTCCCTCAACATACCTGCCCGATACCGAAGGCACCTTCACAGTTATTGTAGCAACCAAAATAGAAAGGTAAAGTTACCCTTATGTCTCTTCTACTAAATAAATAAATGTATTTATCAGCAAAGCTCGGATTTAAGTACCCATCATTTCTTGCTTTAATGTATTGTCGAATGCTTTCATGGTTGGAATCACTGGGTTGTTGTAGTTTTTTTCGGGCTATATGTTCTAGAGGCATTCTCTCCTGACATTTCACCTGCATCTATGGCAAGCATCCTCAGAGGTAGTGAGGTCTGTTGGAACTAGGAAAAAGGGTTTATATATTTGTGGAATGACCAGGGTGGGACAAAGGACTCTTGTCTGCTGGAGCTAGGTGTGAATGTTTCAACCGACCACCTTGATTAGCATTTGAAGGAACATGAAAGGCACTGCAGACTAGTTCAACCAGAGAAGTCAGCCATAGCAGAGCACCTGATGAACCAACCTGGACACATCATTTTATTTGAGAATACAGAAATGCTGGACCACTCTCACAACCACCATGTCAGACTACACAAAGAAGCCATTGAAATCCACAAGCATGTGGACAGTTTCAACAGAAAGGAGGAAACCATGAAAATGAACAAAATCTGGCTACCAGTATTAAAAAAATCTAAAATTAGAACAGCACAACAACAGAGAGGAAACAAACAAGGACATTTAATCACCTCTCAACAAAAGATTGCTCCATGCACTATTAGGCCATTATATGCTAATCAAGGTAGTCAGATGAAACATTCATGCTTAGCTCCAGCAGACAAGAGTCCTTTGTCCCACTCTGGCCATTCCACAGATATATAAACCCATTTTCCTAGTTCCAACAGACCTCACTACCTCTGAGGATGCTTGCCATAGATGTAGGCGAAACGTCAGGAGAGAATGCCTCTAGACCATGGCTATATAGCCCGAAAAAACCTACAACAACCCATTTCTTGTTTTATTTACTTGCTTATTTACTTATTTAGGGCTTTTGGTTTACCACCTCTTGACCCACCAAGGTTCCCAAAGCGATGTGTAATTCATGCAAGCACTTCAAATGAACTCCCAGAGCTCTTTAAAGGACAGTCTCCAGCCTAATATTTTCTAGGACAGATGTTTTGGATTCAGCTGTGAGTGACAACAATCAGGGAATCTAGAAACTGAGATCCAGAATATATGTATAAATCCACTTCACTCATTCATGAACCATCAAGGACACTAAGATCCTCCGGAGAGGCCCTGCTCTCGGTCCCACCACCTTCGCAAGCGCGTTTGGTGGGGACAAGAGACAGTCTTCTCTGTGGTGGCCCCTCAGCTATGGAACTCTCTCCAGAGTGAGATTAGATCTGCCCCCTCCCTCTTGTCCTTCAGGAGGCTAGTGAAATCCTGGTTATGGAAAGAAGCATGCCCAGAATAATGGCTGAGACTGATTACAGACCAAAGTGAGTGACCACATATGCGGACTGAGTTGAACGTGATTTTACCTTGTCGATCTGGTATATATGTATTTTATCTATATGTATTTTAATCTTGTATTGTTGTATGATGTTTTAACTTGTATTAGTAGCATTGAATCCTTGCTATAAGGTGGTCTGAGTCCCTCTGCGGAGGTGAGAAGATCAGGATATAAAAGTTTTAAAGAAATAAATAAAGAAATAAATAATGTTTTTGTGTGTGCTTTCGCATAGGAAAAGCATTCGAAGCAAGGAGACTTTGGGTCAAAGATTGCAAGAGGTGAGTATGGGGTTTAATAGGTAATGTGTGAATTTAGGATTTAATTTTTGTGACAGAACTTCAATGACGCTTGCCAGCGGAAGGATTGCTAGATCAACAGACACTGTGTTCAAAAATCAGGACTGAAGATCAGGATATAAAAGTTTTAAAGAAATAAATAAAGAAATAAATAATGTTTTTGTGTGTGCTTTCGCATAGGAAAAGCATTCGAAGCAAGGAGACTTTGGGTCAAAGATTGCAAGAGGTGAGTATGGGGTTTAATAGGTAATGTGTGAATTTAGGATTTAATTTTTGTGACAGAACTTCAATGACGCTTGCCAGCGGAAGGATTGCTAGATCAACAGACACTGTGTTCAAAAATCAGGACTCCGCAGACTTTCAGTTACAACAGAAAACTAAGTTCTACTAAGTACATCTATACACGTCTGTTCACAGAAAGCTACAGACAGGAACTCCTAGGCAAAAACAACAGTCTCTGAACATCTGCTTATCTGACTTCTGGCTGAGACCAGTTCCTCCCTCTTCTTCCCAGCCAGAGAACACGTTATCTCATTTCTGTCAAGGTTACAGTTTCACAGCCTCAGCACAGTATTTCTAATACACAATTGAACAGAATAGAATCCATCTTGAAATACATCTTAATCCATCTTGAATTACATAGAAACACATTGAAAAACACACATGCATAACCAAATAATCCAGTAATCTTCAATATATTTGCTGGAAGATTATTCAAACATCACGAGAAGCATCTCTATATGTGTATAAACCTGTCCTTACTTCTTACATCCTCTTCATAATCCCAAATGATGACTTGAAGTCATAATGCTGTTGATTTGGCTGTGGTCATGCCAAGCATTTTTTAAAATAGTGACTTCTATTCATTCCTTCCCATCTCTATTATTGTATGCTTTTATGGATGGTGGTCCGAAATAGATATCGATATAACACCCATGAACACATTAATTTTGTTAACTGGGATGTACCTGCTGTTGTGTTAGAAATTCCTTCCAAATGTGTCACAAGGACTAAACTTTTATCTTATTTATAAGTGCTCAAGTTCTCTGGCCTTCTTGGCACCCAACAAATCCTGTTTCAAAATCCTGACCCAGATTTCTTCTTTGTCTGACTTCAACATCCTGATTTTTTTCCTCTTTCTCATTTAATATATAAAATTGTATTTGAATGGCTTGATGTGACTTTGTTTTTGTTTCCACCGCATTTCTGCAGATCTCCTTTAAAGCTGTGATGAAAGTATAGCATGGCATTCCTGCATCCAATATTGGAGGAAACACAACCAGAAAGAAGAAATTGTCAAGCTGATTTCTCTTTGAAATTAAACAGTGCAAAGTAATGTCAAGCCCAGTCATTTTTTTGGGCACAGTAGCATCTCTCTTTCAACCTTTTCATAAAAACAGACTCACATCCCTCCTGATTTTTTTAAAGAATGACATGTCCATTTGAACTTCAGCCGGTGTTGAGGTCGCTTGCTGTTGTGTTTCCATGGACTTTGCTCTGTGTGCTTCTCTATCCCCATCCCCATCCCACCTGCCTCTCAAGTGGAAGAATAATGTGGTCCCTGTGCCGTGTTCAAATCATTGTCAGTTCGCCGTTGATAATCCTTTCCCTCTCTTTTTTCAATGTGTATAGTGTGTGTTCATAGTGAAAAATCACGAGGAAACTCAAGAAAAGTGATGACAGGGAAAAGGAGGCTCAAGAGAAGAAGGGAAGGTTATTACAAAGAGGATTGTTTTTTTCCAAAAAAGGAAAATTAGAATGTTAGAGCTGGTTTTGTTTTTGTTTATGTGAGTCTTTCAGGCCTGGTGACATACTGATGAGAAGAAGTGGGTAAGAAATAAAATAATAATAATAATTACTGATAGATTTTTCTTTTTTCACAAATAGCTCCCAGAAACTTGCAGCCCACTTAAAAAGTTACTAGGGGATTCTGGGAGTTGTACTCCAAAGCTTCAGGTGCTATTATTTATTGATTTATTTCATAATAATAAATTATGATTTATTTGTATTGTCGAAGGCTTTCATGGCTGGAATCACTAGGTTCTTGTAGGTTTTTTCGGGCTATATGGCCATGGTCTAGAGGCATTCTCTCCTGACGTTTCGCCTGCATCTATGGCAAGCATCCTCAGAGGTAGTGAGGTCTGTTGGAAATAGGAACATGGGTTTATATATCTGTGGAATGACTGGGGTGGGGCAAAGATACCATAATAATAACAACAACAATAATAATGGTAAATAAATCAATAAATAATAGCACCTGAAGCTTTGGAGTACAACTCCCAGAATCCCCAAGTAACTTTTTTTAATGGGAGTTTCTGGGAGCTATTTGTGAAAAAAGAAAAATCTATCAGTAATTATTATTATTATTATTATTATTATTATTATTATTATTATTTATCAGTTATTATTATTATTATTATTATTATTATTATTATTATACCACCCCTCTCAGCCCAGAGGCGACTCGGAGCGGTATATAAATATGGTAAATAAATAAATGACGTTACATCAGGCATGGGCAAACTGGCCCAAGTTTGCCCATGTCTGATGTAAAATTATTTATTTATTTACCATATTTATATACCTCTCCAGGAGTTTTGGACTTCAACTCCTTCAATTGTCGGTTAGGAATTGTGGGAGTTGAAGTCCAAAACACCTGGAGGACCCAAGTTTGCCCATGCCTGTACTATACCCCACTTGCCTAGTACTTGACAACCTCTATTTTCCAGCTCTGTGGAGGCAATAAATGCATGAGACTTGAGTCTTTGGGTCAAGACCATGGATGTTTTTTCCATGTAAAGCCTCTCCATTTTCAGTATCCTTGGGCCCTTCAGGCTGAGCTATTTTGCAGAGGAAATAATGATGATGAGGATGGTTGCGGGGAGGAAGAAAAGGGTTTGGACTATCCATCAGTGGTTGGCATCTTACATCTCAATGATGTGGCAAAAATACTCTTGGTTTCATTTCCAGCCTTTAAAGGAGCTATCCAAGATATGGAACCTGTTTGTTGGCTGAGGATCAGCACCTTGGATAGCTCCATTAAGGCCTGATGCCGAGCCCATACTGGAGCCACTAAACTATTCAAGTACCTTGAATAACTCCATTAAAATTTGGCATGAAACCTATAGAAGAATTACTCAGCTGATTCAGGACCTTGGATAACTCCATCAAAGTTTGGCATCAAACTCATACTTGAGTTCCAGCACCTTGGATAGCTCCACTGAAGACTGGCATGAAACCCACAATGATGTCACTGCACATCTTCAGAACCTTGGATAGCTCCATCAAATATGATATTGAACCAACCCTGGAATCACTAAATAGTTCCAGTACCTTGAGTAGATCCATTCCAGAAAGTATTGAAATCCATATTAGACTCTATGAAAGTTAATAATAATGTTATTTGTAGCCTGTACTATCTCCCCCAGGAAACTCAAAGCAGAGTTACGAAATAGTTCCAGCACCTTGGATAGCTCCATTCAAGTCCGAGATGAGGCCCATAGTCGAGTCACGGAACAGTTCCAACACTTCAAGGTCTGGGTTGTTGTATGTTTTTTCGGGCTATATGGCCATGGTCTAGAGGCATTCTCTCCGGACGTTTCGCCTGCATCTATGGCAAGCATCCTCAGAGGTAGTGAGGTCTGTTGGAACTAGGAAAGTGGGTTTATATATCTGTGGAATGACCAGGGTGGGACAAAGGACTCTTGTCTGCTGGAGCTAGGTGTGAATGTTTCAACTGACCACCTTGATTAGCATACAATGGCCTGACAGAGCCTGGAGCAGACTTTTGTTGAGAGGTGTTTAGATATCCTTGTTTGTTTTCTCTCTCTTGTTGTCCTGTCGTAATTTTACAACAGCACAACAGAGCACAACAACAGAGAGGAAACAAACAAGGACATCTAATTGCCTCTCAACAAAAGTTTAATCAAGGTGGTCAGGCCATTGTATGCTAATCAAGGTGGTCAGTTGAAACATTCACACCTAGCTCCAGCAGACAAGAGTCCTTTGTCCCACCCTGGTCATTCCACAGATATATAAACCCCTTTTTCCTAGTTCCAACAGACCTCACTACCTCTGAGGATGCTTGCCATAGATGCAGGCGAAACGTCAGGAGAAAATGCCTCTAGACCATGGCCATATAGCCCGAAAAAACCTACAACAACCCAGTGATTCTGGCCATGAAAGCCTTCGACAATACAATTTCAAGGTCTAATATGAAACCCAGACAAGATCCAGTACACCATAGATAAGAAAACCACTCACTATATTCAAGATAAACAATTACTGGCCCCATGTGCCTTTCTTGTTCCTCCGACGCTTAATTTCCCACTCCGTAGCATTCATGTTTTGCACCCTGGCCTTCAGGACTTTTCTTGAATCTGTCATGTCCAACAGGTAGGCTCGAGTGACAACTGAAAGTAAACCTCTCTCACAGCAAAGTCATCGGCACTAATTGTATACAATACTAGTTACCTGTGTAGGTAATATCAGTTACGGTATTCCAGCAACTTGGATGTAATCTTTTAAAATATTTATTTAACTTATTAAGCGAATTTAAGTTATGAAGCTTGTTTCTAAAGATGGAAATTAAAAAAAGGTGCAAATAGTGATCAGATTAAGCAAGGAAGTATTATTGAATGTCATTGTTGGGTGGAGGGTTATTCCTCCTCTGTGTGCAGGATTCTGGTTCAAATTGACCTTGTTTGTTTTCTCTTTGTTTTTTCCTGGAAGGCATTTTTAAGTGCGATTTTGAAATATTTTATTTTTTTTAATCAGCAAGGTGGTGGTTGAAATGTCTTTTGGAAAAAAATAAATAAAATGGTCAGTGGCATCCTGTAAGCACAATATTTTTGGTCATGTGATCTTTTTTGCATTATTATTACTGCTGCTGAGTATGCATGCCCAGTGTGGAACACATCTCACCACACTAAAACAGTGGATGTGGCTCTTAATGAGACATACCGCATTATCACGGGGTGTCTGCGCCCTACACCACTGGAGAAATTACACTGCTTAGCCGGTATTGCACCACCTGACATCCGCCGGGAAGTAGCAGCCAATAGTGAAAGGACCAAGGCAGAGACATCTCCAGCTCATCCCCTGTTTGGGTATCAGCCAGCACGTCAACGACTTAAATCAAGAAATAGATCTACAGAGACACTCGCTGGAACACCTCAGCAAGCGAGAGTCCAAAAGTGGCAGGCTCAAACCCAGCACCTCAATCCATGGGTGATACCAGATGAGAGACTCCCCCCTGGGCACACAGATAGATATGCAGATGATACCACTTTGATGGCTGAAAGTGAGGAGGAGTTAAGGAGCCTTCTAACCAAGGTGAAAGAAGAAAGTGCAAAAGCTGGGTTGCAGCTAAACATCAAAAAACCAAGATTATGGCAACAAGAATGATTGACAACTGGAAAATAGAGGGAGAAATTTGGAGGCCGTGACAGACTTTGTATTTCTAGGTGCAAAGATGAGTGCAGATGCAGACTGGCCAGGAAAAGACGCTGACTTCTTGGGAGGAGAGCAATGTCCAATCTCGATAAAATAGTGAAGAGTAGAGACATCACACTGGCATCGAAGATGCATAGTTAAAGCAATGGTATTCCCCATAGTCACCTACGGATGTGAGAGCTGGACCATTAGGGAAGGCTGAGCGAAGGAAGATAGATGCTTTTGAACTGTGGTGTTGGAGGAAAGTTCTGAGAGTGCCTTGGACTGCGAGAAGATCCAACCAGTCCATACTCAGGAAATAAAGCCCAACTGCTCATTGGAGGGAAGGATATTAGAGGCAAAAATGAAGTACTTTGGCCACATAATGAGAAGACAGGAAAGCTTAGAGAAGACAATGATGCTGGGGAAAATGGAAGGAAAAAGGAAGAGGGCCCGACCAAGGGCAAGATGGATGGATGGCATCCTTGAAGTGACTGGATTGACCTTGAAGGAGCTGGGGGTGGTGACGGCCGACAGGGAGCTCTGGCGTGGGCTGGTCCATGAGGTCATGAAGAGTCGGAAACGACTGAACGAATGAACAACAAAACGTATGTATATACGTGTGTATGTATATGCATGCACCAGAGGCAGGAAACTTTTAAAGACACCAGAGAGATGACTACAACCAACACACACACACACACACAGGGTTGATATATATGTGGAATATTTTCAAGCCATGGATAGTAGAATCTGTAGATGAAGAATCTGAATATGAAATGACAACTATAATTTCCAAATGTTTCCATTTCAGCTTGTTGCCAGCCATATTTTTTGCACCTTTAAGGCTAACACATGTATTATTATTATTAAAGCTTGTGCGCCAGCTGCGCCCGTACCTTGGGAAGCCTGACTTGGCCACGGTGGTCCACGCTCTGGTTACATCCCGTTTAGACTACTGCAACGCTCTCTACTTGGGGTTGCCTCTGAAGACTGCCCAGAAGCTTCAACTAGTCCAACGAGCGGCAGCCAGGTTGCTAACAGGAGTGGCGCTCAGGGAGCACACAACTCCTCTGTTGCACCAGCTCCACTGGCTGCCAGTCTGCTATCGAGCACAATTCAAAGTGCTGGCTTTAGCCTATAAAGCCCCAGCTACTGGACTATCTACGGATTCTCCCCTATGAACCATCAAGGTTATTAAGATCTTCCGAAGGGGCCCTGCTCTCGGTCCCACCACCTTCGCAATCGCGTTTGGAGGGGACGAGGGACAGGGCCTTCTCGGTGGTGGCCCCTCGCCTTTGGAACTCCCTCCCACTAGAGATTAGATCTGCTCCCTCCCTCCTGACCTTCAGGAAACTAATAAAGACCTGGCTTTGGAACGTGGCATTTGAGGACTGAATCTATGACATTTGTCCACATGGAAGGAGGACGATGAACTGTGACTGTATCGACGACTTGGCTTGGTGATGATGTGATGATGATGTTTTTATTGTACTTATATTTTAATCTGTAATGATGATGCATTGTGTTGTTTTTGTATATTATTGTTTTTGAACACATGGCCTGAGTCCCTCGTTCGAGGTGAGAAGACCAGTATACAAAACTTCTAAATAAATAATAAATAAATAAATATTACACAGGCTTCTGAAGATTGTAAGCACATAAATGATAACTCATATATTGTAACACATATTATGTCATTATAATAACCATACCATCGTGATTAGTATGCATGAAATGCTCATGCAATGTATCCACATAATACTTACAAATATTTCAAGATTAAGTATTAAGCTACGTAATTGGAGGGGGAAAGGGCAACAAGGCAAGTACTTCTGAATTCGTCCACACCAAGGGTGCATCTACACTGTAGAATCAGTGCAGTTTGATATCAGTTTAACTGCCATGGCTCAATGCTATGGAATCCTGGAAATTATAGCTTAGAAAGGCACCAGCATGCTTTTGAAAGGCAAAAGATCCTAAAAAACTATAATGCAACATTCCATAGCATTGAGCCAGGCCGTTAAACCAGTGTCAAAACTGCATTAATTCTACAATGTAGATCCAAGAGAAAAGTAGGCAGAATCTCCCCTTCCGAATAGGCCCAGGCAAAAGCAAAATGCTGAAGCTTCTCCTAGCTTATTTATTAGAACTTCCTGACTGTGAGAGCCGTTCAGCAGTGGAACTCTCTGCCCCGGAGTGTGGTGGAGGCTCCTTCTTAGGAAGCTTTTAAACAGAGGCTGGATGGCCATCTGTCAGGGGTGATTTGAATGCAATATTCCTGCTTCTTGGCAGGGGGTTGGACTGGATGGCCCATGAGGTCTCTTCCAAATCTAGGATTCTATGATTCTATTAATCCTCATTGATAGGTTTTGCCATCTTGATCACATTTTGACTTTGCTTGGCCACATTATGTCCCAATGTATTAAAATTGCAAGATGGAGCTCAGCTAAACATTCTTGCTTCCTTTTCTTTCTGGGCAGCTTCCCAGAGTGTTTGAGTTGTTTGGGGTCTCAATCAAGAGAGAAAAGTGGGGTAACAACAATAATAATAATAATAATAATAATAATAATAGTAATAGATGTAGCAGGACCATGTGCCCAAGAAATGAAACACCGATGTGTCCAAAATCTCTACACTTGTCCTAATGTACTGGACCCAGTAGCATCTTAAAGAGAGGTAGGTTAATGTGGAATTGCATGAAACTCAAAAGGGAGCGGGTGCCTTGTACCTCCCAGGATGTACTCAAAACTGACTTGCTTTGTTCCCTCCGGCAGCTGGAACTTGAAAGTGCGGATCAGGTTAGTAAAGAATAGGAAGAGCTCAATCTGGGCTAGTGGTTCTCCTACACATGTTCGACGGCCTGCAAGGAGAAGTAAGAAAGCAGAGTTATTGTGGAGAAGGGGCTTATTGGATCCTTATCAATACAGTAAACTTAATTAATTCGAGCTCAAGGAACCACAACTCTCAAGCAACCAGCAATAATAATAAAAATGGGTTGTTGTAGGTTTTTTCGGGCTATATGGCCATGTTCTAGAGGCATTTCTCCTGACGTTTCGCCTGCATCTATGGCAAGCATCCTCAGAGGTAGTGAGGTCTGTTGGAACTAGGAAAAATTTTCCTACCGATATTGAAAAATGTAAACATTCTGAAACTTTGGAACAAATCAAATGCAACATTGGAAAAATGAAAACTAGAGGGCAACGTTCAGTCTCTATTGGACTCCCAGTTTTGCAATGTAGGTAAATGGTTTTGCTATATATATATATATATGTACATAGTGAGACATCTTGGAGATGTGACCAAAGTCTAAACATGACCTTTATTTAAGCTTCATATACACTTTGCACTCATAGCCTGAAGGTAACCTTCTAAATATTTTTATGCATAAAATGATGTTTTGTACATTGAACCATTGGAAAGCAATAATGCCACTATCTCATGGGGATAATTTCAGATTTTGGAGTGTTTCAGAATTGTGGTTAAAGGATGCTCAACCTGTTAATGTCACTGATTTCTAAATTGATAACAGTCTGAATTTTGGGAGAAAGAATGGTAAGAGTACATACCTGTTGAAAAAGATAAGAAAGCTTTGTTGCTGACAAAATTGTCTTCTGAATCGAGGAAGTGCCTTGGGTTGAATTTCCAAGGAGTTTCCCAGAAATTGGGGTCATACAGCACAGAGTGATTGTTGGGAAGGACCAAGGTTCCCTGCAAGTGGAGCAAATAAGCATAATTAACTTTGTTTGTTCTCAAGGTCATGGGCAAAAATGCTTTGGAGAAACTACTTTTGTTAGATAACTTCTAGAATCCCTCAGCCACCACAGCTGGGATGTTCCGGGAGTTACAGTCCCTCAAATTGACTTATTTATTCTCTGATGATATGGAAAGGGGTGTAGCTGGTTCACTGCCTGAGCTCTGAGAGTGCAACATTTTTCAATGAAGCAGAGAGTGTTTGAGGACCGGGACATCCGTAGGGATACCAAGGTGCTTGTTTATAAAGCTATTGTCCTCCCAACCCTGCTATATGCCTGTGAGATGTGGACTGTCTACAGATGTCACATGCAACTCCTGGAACGATTCCATCAGCGCTGCCTCCGGAAAATCCTGCAAATCTCTTGGGAAGACAGGCGGACAAACATCAGCGTGCTGGAAGAAGCAAAGACCACCAGCATTGAAGTGATGGTCCTCTGCCATCAACTCCGCTGGACCAGCACGTTGTCCGGATGCCCGACCACCGTCTCCCAAAGCAGTTGCTCTACTCCAAACTCAGAAAACGGAATGTTGGAGGACAGGAAAAGGGATTGAAAGATGGGCTCAAAGCCAACTGGGCATAGAAACTGAGAACTGGGAAGCCCTGGCTCTTGAGAGCTCCAGCTGGAGGTCAGCTGTGACCAGCAGTGCTGTAGAATTTGAAGAGGCACGAATGGAGGGCGAAAGAGAGAAAGGTGCCAAGAGGAAGGCGTGTCAAGCCAACCCCAACCGGGACTGCCTTCCACCTGGAAACCAATGCCCTCACTGCAGGAGAAGATGCAGGTCAAGAATAGGACTCCACAGTCACCTACAGACCTACCGCCAGTACACCAATCTTGGAGGACAATCCTACTAAGTAAGTGTCTGGTTCAAAAGACAATAAGAACAACAGCAAGTGCTTGTAGCACATGCAAACAACACCACATGATTGTAATGGAACCACAGTTCTATTTTTATATATTTTAATAGACAAGTCATGCTGGTGACACACAATCTGAGTGTGTCCCCTGTCGAGGGAGGATAGGTGCCATGATTTATTGTTTCCTCAATCACCCCCTCCTTGGAAACTCTGCATACTGGATTGAATGCCTTAGAGGCAAGCTGAAAATAAACCATACCGCAGTGTTTATCTGCATCATCTGACCTTGTAGTGCTCACTGTTTAGAAGAAACTCTGATTCAGTTTTCATCCAAGCTCAGGAGGCTTTTAATCTTGACACGTTGCTCTACATACAAATATACACACTCAGATCAGGGTCCCTTGATCCCCAATCAGTCAATGGCATATACAGCGATATGCTCATGATGTAGGCAAACAGATACACGAGCAAGAGATATTGCCCACCCTGTCCACTTTCCGCAACGAGCTAAAAACTTGTATGTTCCAATGTGCTTTTGATTAATCAGTTCACTAGATAATTTTGGCCCCTCTAGCCATGATTTAATATCTGGCTCCCGCACTTTACCATTGTCCCTGCCTTTTAGCTGTGCTGCACATATTGACTTGGCCCATTTAGCCCATACTTATCACCTGACTCCTGGACTTTTCTATCAGCCCTGTCCTTGCAACTGTTTTGCACAAGCTCGTGCCTCGCACGTCTGTTCAGTATATGGCCTCTAGGTTAGGTCATTGGTTGCTTTGATTGTCAATTGTTGATGGTTATGTTATTGTGATGTTTTGTATTTGAATTTTACTGTGCTATATTTTAATTTATGCCTAACTGGGCTTGGTCTTTGGAGAGTGACCATACATCCCATATTTGTTTATTCCATCTACAGCAGTGGTTCTCAACCTTCCTAATGCTGCGACCCCTTAGTACAGTTCTCATGTTGTGGTGACCCCCAACCATAAAATTATTTTCATTGTTACTTCATAACTGTAATTTTGCTACTGTTATGAATCGTCATGTAAATATCTGATTTGCAGGATGTATTTTCATTCACTGGACCAAATTTGGCACAAATACCCGATACACCCAAATTTGAATACTGGTGGGGTTGGGGAATTGATTTTGTCATTTGGGAGTTGTAGTTGCTGGGATTTATAGTTCACCTACAATCAAAGAGTATTCTGAAGTTCACCAACGATGGAATTGAACCAAACTTGGCACACAGAACTCCCATGACCAAGAGGAAATACTGGGAGGGTCTGGTGGACATTGACCTTGAATTTTTGGAGTTGTAGTTCACCTACCTCCAGAGAGCACTGTGGACTCAAACAATGATGGATCTGGACTACACTTGGCACAACTACTCAATACCCCCAAATGTGAACACTGGTAGAGTTTGGAGAAAATTGACCTTACCATTTGGGAGTTGTAGTTGTTGGGATTTATAGTTCACCCACAATGAAATAGCATTCTGAACCCCACCAATGATAGAATTGGACCAAACTTTCCACACAGAACCCCCATGACCAACAGAAAATACTATGTTTTCTGATGGTCTTTGGCGACCCCTCTGACACCCCTTTGCGACCCCCACAGGGGTCCCGACCCCTAGGTTGACAAACATTGATCTACAGTGTTGTCCTCATGATGCACTTTCCCCCATCCTTAGTGAAGGCCCAACCCCATTGATTGTCTTTTTGGGCTCCTCCCTCATAAATACACTCCCTCACAAATACACTTTTCCCCCCACTCCTATCTCAACCAAGATTTTATCATTTTATCTTGTGCATTTAGCCCGCACATTGTGTTTGACTTTCTATTATGTTATTTTGCATTGTTTATTTTATCTTGTTAAATATTGTGATGTAATTTTTGTTGTTTTGTATTTTATTTTGCTGTATTGTATTTTTGGCTTGGCCTCATGTGACCCGCCTCGAGTCCGCTTTGGAGAAATGGTGGTGGGGTATAAATGAAGTTTATTAATTATTATTATTATTGGTCCCCATGTAAGCCCCCCCCCTCAAGTCCCTCCAGGGAGATGATAGCGAGATACAAAAATAGTTATTATTATTATTATTGGCAAGAGACATACAGCAAGAGAGTTCATATGACAAGAGAAAGAACAAGCGTTTCCTGCCTTTTTAAATATCAGGACGACACTGATGATTATTTGTTTTTAATGGTTTATATATGTTTTTACATTGTTATGCTGATTGTATTAATCGTATTTTTTTTATGAATGTATGTCATTGAATTGTTGCCAACCTATAACCCGCCCTGAGTCGCCTTAGGGCTGAGAAAGGCGGGCAATAAATGCCGTAAATAATAATAATAATAATAATAATAATAATAATAATAATAATAATATAAATAGCCAGAGACAAAAATGAATGATGCAACCCTTGTCATGAATATCACATGGTCATGACTCAGCCTTTTCAGAATGTCACTTGGGTAACATATCACCACCCACTTAATCATTCTGCAAGTATATGAACACATGTCCATTAGAACTGTATTTTACACAATTGGATTATTGCCAACACATTCCTTTCTAACATTCCTTCTCTATCTAACATCCCATGGTGCGGATTGCAACCCCTAGTGATCCCACTGCATTGTGCTATTTATTCTTGAGGGGTGGGAGATATTGTACCTTTGGGATGGAGAAGCCCAGCACAGTGATGTCCTTTGAGCAGGCCCTCAAGGGTCCAACGCCGGTTGTGTTGCTGAACCGCAGGATCTCATGAAGCACAGCATTGGTGTAAGGCAGTTTAATCCGGTCCTCATAAGTGATAGTGTGAGAAGGTCCCAGAAGAGCATTGATTTCCTTGTAGCTCTTTTCTATTGACAAACAACTGGATGAATATATAGCAGCAGAAACTTGCTTCTTCCTCTTTCTCCCTGTATTTTAAACAACTCTTTTAATATTGACCCACTTTATGATCATGGGTATGTATCACACCTCTCTCCAGAATACAATAAATGATTCCATTAACTTGTATGCAAAAAAACCCAAACTGAAATATGGGTAAATAAATACTCTGCAGTTGTATGTTACTAAAATGCTAGGTGTTTGCAGAAAATTTTTATTTGGGAGAATAGTATTCCTAACTATACCAGTAACTACATCACTATTCCCACCAGAGCCAGCAAATTCTAACTGGACACTGTAGAACTTTCTTACCTTATCCAGGTAAGAACTGGAAAGAACTGACCATGGAACAATGGAGTGGTTCAAGATTGGGAAAGGTGTCCCGCAGGGTTGTATACTCTCACCCAACCTATTCAACTTATATGTAGAACACATCATGTGATGTGCGGGGCTTGACGAATGCAAGGCTGGGGTGAAAATGCTGGAAGAAACATTAACAACCTTAGATATGCAGATGATACCACTTTGATGGACGAAAGCGAGGAGGAGGAGCCTTCTAATCAAGGTGAAAGAAGAAAGTGCAAAAGCTGGGTTGCAGCTAAACATAAAAAAACCAAGATTATGGCAACAAGAATGATTGACAACTGGGAAATAGAAAGAGAAAACGTGGAGGCAGTGACAGACTTTGTATTTCTAGGTGCAAAGATTACTGCAGACGCAGAGTGCAGCCAGGACATCCTTCTTGGGAGGAGAGCAAGGACCAATCTTGATAAAATAGTGAAGAGTAGAGACATCACACTGGCAACGAAGATCCACATAGTTAAAGCAATGGTATTCCCTGTAGTCACCTACGGATGTGAGAGCTGGACCTTAGGGAAGACTGAGCGAAGGAAGATAGATGCTTTTGAACTGTGGTGTTGGAGGAAAGTTCTGAGAGTGCCTTGGACTGCGAGAAATACTTCAGGAAATATAGCCCAACTGCTCATTGGAGGGAAGGATACTTTGGCCACATCATGAGTAGTACTTTGGCCACATCATGAGAAGACAGGAAAGCTTAGAGAAGACAATTATGCTGGGGAAAATGGAAGGAAAAAGGAAGATGGGCCGACCAAGGGCAAAATGGATGGATGGCATCCCTGAAGTGACTGGATTGACCTTGAAGGAGCTGGGGGTGGCGATGGCTGACAGGGAGCTCTGGCCTGGGGTGGTCCATGAGGTCACAAAGAGTTGGAAACGACTGAACGAATAAACAATAACAACTTCTCCAGGATCTTTTGTAGTGCACTGGCTGTTAGGAATTGTGGGAGTTGAAATCTAAAACACATGGAGGGCCAAAGTTTGCCCATGCCTGATTTAGATCCACATCCGTGCCAGGTCAGGGTGAATTATTTTCGCTTAATGAACACATAAACATTGTTAATACCCTCTGCATGTGCATTTACCCACCTTGAACATCTGGGCAGTTCAACAGATAGCAGAATCCCCAACACAAGGTGGTAGCCATGGTGTCCATTCCTCCAAGCAACAGATCGACTGATGTTTGAACTAAGTTGTCTTCATTGAACGTGGATGTTGGGTCATGTTTGGTCTAAAATCAGAATGCATTCAGAAACAAAAGAAAACAGTATAGATTTCATGAGATAACAACAAAAATATTCATAGTTGAAGAAAAATGTCCCTATGCCCACTTGGCAAACAATTACAATTGGCCACTGGGAAACCTGGGGGTCACAAAAATAGTCCTGAGGGTTGTATACACTCAGCCTGTACTTTCCAATCCCATCCTGATTTTTTATTTATTGTGTCAGGGGCAGATCAAAGAGTTGCACTGCATTTTTAACAAACAAACAAACAAACAAACCTTTGCAAGCTTGGTAGTTGATAAAATGTCCTTTGACCAGTAGCTGGCCACATGGAGTGCCTCTGGTGTTGCCGCAAGAAGGTCCTCCATTGTGCATGTGGCGGGGCTCAGGTTGCATTGCAGCAGGTGGTCTGTGGTTTGCTCTTCTCCCACTTTCTGGCTCCATTTCTTGAGGTTGGCTCTGCATCTCGTGGTGCCAGAGCGCAGTCTGTTCAGCACCTTCCAAGTTGCCCAGTCTTCTGTGTGCCCAGGGGGGAGTCTCTCATTTGGTATCAGCCATTGATTGAGGTTCTGGGTTTGAGCCTGCCACTTTTGGACTCTCACTTGCTGAGGTGTTCCAGCGAGTGTCTCTGTAGATCTTAGAAAACTATTTCTTGATTTAAGTTGTTGACGTGCTGGCTGATACCCAAACAGGGGATGAGCTGGAGACGTCACTGCCTTGGTCCTTTCACTATTGGTTGCTACTTCCCGGCGGATGTCAGGTGGTGCAATACTGGCTAAGCAGTGTAATTTCTCCAGTGGTGTAGGGTGCAGACACCCCGTGATAATGCGACATGTCTCATTAAGAGCCACATCCACTGTTTTAGCGTGGTGAGATGTGTTCCACACTGGGCATGCATACTCAGCAGCAGAGTAGCATAGCGCAAGGGCAGATGTCTTCACTGTGTCTGGTTGTGATCCCCAGGTTGTGCCAGTCAGCTTTTGTATGATATTATTCTAGCGCTCACTTTTTGCTTGAATCCCATCCTGATGACCAAATAAAAGGAAGTTTAAGGTGAGGGAAAGCTCTGTTCTTACCTTTGCCATTTGAACCAGGTAGAAATCAATGAAATCATGGGGTTCATCACCTTCCTTCCGCCTTTCCTGGTGGGTTTGAATCTCCTCCTTCACTAGGTTGTGTATGAAGTCATTGCATCCCAAGACCTCTTGATAAAGTCCTTTCAGGTGATTCATAATCCCTGGGAGAGCGTCATACATCTGTGGGTGATAAAACAAAATGGAGACAAAGGGGAAAGGGCCCACAACTTTGTGAGGAAACTTCAATATGTTGGGGATGGATGGTTGTATTTTTTTCTAACAAAACAGTAATTGCATCTTTACGGTTGAAGATTCATTCTGAACCGGTCTTATGCTAACTCATGTTTATTTGACTATAAAACCCCTAATTGTCTGATTGATTTCCCAATATTTCGGTTGAACAACACTTTTTTCTATCACCTAGCTGAACAGTGCTTTAATTACACAGTATTGAGATTGAATCAAGACACTTTGACCACTTTAGCAAGTGGTATCTTAGTTCAGTTCTTGTGGGTTTTTTCGGGCTATATGGCCATGTTCTAGAGGCATTTCTCCTGACGTTTCGTCTGCATCTATGGCAAGCATCCTCAGAGGTGAGGTCTGAGACCTCACCTCTGAGGATGCTTGCCATAGATGCAGGCGAAACGTCAGGAGAAATGCCTCTAGAACATGACTATATAGCCCGAAAAAACCCACAAGAACTGAGTGATTCCAGCCATGAAAGCCTTCGACAATACATTGAACGGTATCTTACTTTTCAATGAGTTACTTTGATTCTGGTTAATTCACATGGAAGAGGGAGCTCCTCTCAAGCAGGGAGCTTTGAGATGGTTGAGCAGGAGCTCTCCAAAGCTTTAGGTGCTCTTACTGTCTATTACAGGGAAAACCAGTTGATTGCTTTTTTTAATTTTAATTTTTTATTGTTTTATAGTGTATATAGGAAACAAAATCAATGAACAAAAGAAAAAATGAACCAAAATATGCAAAAGATTTACAAAAGTGTGTACATTCAGTGCTCGTTAAACATATGAACAATCAGACTTAGCTGTACAATTAATTATACCTTAACATTTCTTAACGCTCTATCCCCCACACCCGTGAACCCCATCCCATGACCTCTGAAGCCCCTCAAAAAAGGATCACACAACTATCCAGCAACTACCCATATATCTTCCTTCACTGAATCCCCTTTATGGCGATCTTCAAGTTTACCTTTGTCTTCTTTTCCAAATACCCAGATGGATTAGATGGATTCCTAATCCATCTAAAATGCAGATGTGTGCTTTTCATCTTAAGAACAGACAAGCATCCCGAACTCTGAGGATTACCTGGGAAGGAATCCCATTGGAGCATTGCAGCTCACCCAACCTGGGGATCACAACCAGGTACAGTGAAGACATCTGCCCTTGCACTTTGCTACTCTATTGCTGAGTACGCATGTGGAACACATACCATGTTAAAAAAGTGCATGTGGCTCTTAATGAAACATGCCACATTATCACGGGATGTCTACGCCCCACACCGATGGAGAAATTATACTGTTTAGCTGGTATTGCACCACCTGACATCTGTCAGGAAGTAGCAGCCAATAATGAAAGGACCAAGGCAGTGACATCTCTGGCCTATCCCCTCTTCAGATATCAGCCAGCACGCCAATGACTTAAATCAAGAAATAGTTTTCTAAGATATGCAGAAATACTCGCAGGAACACCTCAGCAAGCAAAAGTCCAAAAGTGGCTGGCTAAAACCCAGCTCCTCAATCCATGGCTGATACCAAATGAGAGACTCGCTCCTGGGTACACAGAAAACTGGGCGACTTGGAAGGCACTATTTATTTATCGTGTCAGGAGCAAACCAAAACAGTTGTATTGCATTAAAAAACAAACAAACAAAACACAAAGTTTCCATTGCACAGTCCCAAAGGCTCGGTCCCACAGCCATGTTTTTATCATCTTTCTACAGGACAAGAGGGAGGGGGCTGACCTGATCTCATTAGGAAGGGAGTTCCATAGCTGAGGGGCAATCACTGAGAAGGCCCTGTCTCTCGCCGCCGCCAAACGCGCCTGTGATGGTGGTGGCACTGAGAGCAGGGCCTCCCCAGAAGATCTTAATCTCCGTAGTGGTTCATAGGGGGAGATGCGTTCGGACAGGTAAATTGGACCGGGGCCATTTAGGGCTTTATAGGCCAAAGCCAGTACTTTGAATTGTGCTCAGTAGCAAACTGGCAGCCAGCGGAGCTGGCGTAACATGGGAGTTGTGTGCTCCCTGTATGCCGCTCCATTTATTAACCTGGCTGCCTCTCGCTGGAGTATTTGAAGCTTCAGAGCAGTCTTCAAAGGCAACCCCATGTAGAGGGCGTTGCAGTAATCTAACCCAGATGTGACAAGAGCATGGACCACTGTGGCCATGTATGGCTTCTTATAGGTTGCTATGACAGTAAAACAAGAAAAAGGTAACTTGGCTACATCCTTGACACATTCAAACAGAGAGCTCAGAACACAAGGAAACTTACCCTGCCCCAGAAAGTAAATGGCGTGTAAACTATCAAAGAGCCAGCTTTTATCAATTTGTTGAAAGACTCATCTTCATAGGGAAAGCGATGGCCGAACAAAAAAGAGCATATGACATTATCCACAGCACGGACAATATGGATCCTGGGTTCAAAGGCTCTTCCTGCAAATGCAAAAAGTGTTAATTATGATAAGTTGGCAATATTATGCAACAAAAATAAGAAGAATTTGCAAGAGGAATATGGATCTACTGCTCTCAACCATTGGCGCGTCCTGTCCCAAGTATGTCTTGTGCATCAAAGCTTCTTGAACTATGATGTATCCTTTGGTTGATCTTCAGTCTTTATGTCTGCTGGTTCTTCCATTCTGCCTCTTGGGACTTCATCCCACAGGATAAGTCAAGCATTTCAGAGAGTTGGGTTTCCTTAAAGTCCCATTTGGAAATTAAATGAAAGATTTTCCTACTCCCTTCACACCAATCCTTCTCTCTGCTTTCTTTAAGATGTATCCATTTGATTTGCCATCACATTGTACAGACTTGTTTCCCTCACTGCCCCTCCCCCATTTTCTTTTTCTTTTTAAAAACTTCTCTCACTTATCTTGGGAGGTTAGCTTACAGCCCAAAGAACTCACAAGGAGTTATTCTTACATTGTAGAATTCAGAAAAGGATGGAGGGGGGAAATGAAGCTTTAGCTCTCTTATATGTCTCCCTGCTAGCCTTTTGATAGGCAAAACAAAAGCCTAACAGAACTGCAGGAATTTCAGACAGGCAACTGAGAATGAGAAGTGCAGGATTTGTATACTTTCTATTTTTCTCCTAAAAGTTTTGAATACCTTGTTTGCTATACCTCCTCAGTCCCAAAAAAGGTAATGGTGACAGAAAAGAATAGATTCTGCCTATCTCAGTTCCTCCCTCCACAATGATGTCATCATTATCTTTACAAGCAGACAAGGGAAAATTCCCATCACATGGTAAATTGGTCTTTTATACACATTTGTAAGCAGGGAATTGAAAAAGAAGTTGATTGCTAATTGATTTAGTAACTGTGGGGAAAAAATACACTTTAGAAATGGCAAAATACCCCTACCTCACATTCAAAGCTTGCATTGTCTGAAGGGGACCATTAGTGGCAGTTTCTTGTGTAGAAATGCTTATTTAATCATGTGTGATGAAGTCCTTGGTTTGCCCTGTGGTCCTAACTGTTCCATTGGATCTCAGGCTCAGAAACATCTCACATTGTTGCTGAACCCTCTCCCAGTATTTAGCAGAATTATGTCTTCCTATAAAGAAGTTGATTAAGATATAGTTCTGCCCTCATGAATCAGCTGAGGGTGCTGGATATGTTAAGGCAGTGGTTCTCAACCTGGGGTCCCCAGATGTTTTTGGCCTACAACTCCCAGAAATCCCAGTTTACCAGCTGTTAGGATTTCTGAGAGTTGAAGGCCAAAAACATCTGGGGACTCCAGGTTGAGAGCCACTGTGTTAAGGGGAAGTTAAAGGAAGCCATGCTTAAATATTTGAAAAGATGGTGTATAGAAGATGGAGCAAACTTGTTTACAGTTGCTCCAAAGACCGAGACATGGAGCAGTAGGTTTCTCCTGATGCAGGATTTCAGCCATGCTTGCTGTTAGGAAATGAGACCTAAACAACTGGGACACAGATAGGTTCTTGGAAAGAAAGCACAATGACTTAGGCAAAAATAACTTCAGTTGAGTATGCTAAATAGCTGATATTAAATACTAACCATAACAAAGAAATACTAAAGTTGCCTGGTTATATGTTTTTACCTTGTTTGCTTGCAAACACTCTCAGAAGATGTTGGACCTCTTCTTGTATTTGGTCCTCCAATTCCTTTGTTCCCATCCCGAGATGTCTTAGGACCATCATGACAAAGCGTTTCTGTTGCTTCCAGGTATGGCCACTTGTAAGAAATACACCTGTGGCATCAAGAGAGTGAGAATCAATGTGGTATAACAGTTTGACTATTGGACTGTGGTTCTGGAGACCAGGGTTTGAACCTCTCTTGCCCATTGAAACCTACTGGACAACTCTCTTAGCACCAGAAGAAGGTAATGACAAATCTCCTCCAAACAAATCCCCTCTAAGAGGATCCCATGAGGGCTGCCTCAAGTCATAATGACTTGAAACCACACAAGAACAATAATCAAGAGAATCCTTGTTCCAGGTCATGACATACATTTCTGTTTCCATCTTAGCATATGGACTTGCAAGAGCAGCCAGGTCTAAAACTTGGTAGTTTCATCTCAGGACTGGTAATCATGTGTCACAGCAATGGGGAATGCCCTACCCATAAGCTACATGAGGTTCCTGAGCCCCAATTTGCAGATCCCCAAATTATCATAATAGTTTGCCATTTTCACCACATTCTGAATTTGCTTGGCTGCAAGTGTCCAGAGATTTTCATCTGTGAAATATTGGATGGCATGGGATTGTGATGAAAGCTTGCATTTCAACAACAGACAACTATTGGTGAATTTTCAAACTAAAATTCAGTTTCTCCAACAGGACTAATTTCCGTATTTTGTCACATAACTCTGAGAAATAGCTCTAAAAAGCACATTAGTCTAAGAAAAGAGCAATTCTGGTATTTACTAGAAATGGTTAGGTTCAGTTGGAATCTTCGTAATTTGGAATAAATTAGGAAAGATTTGCTTTTTGAAGCAATATCGAAGTTTTTAAGGAATCCGGAAGTCCCTTTGCCCTTCCGAAGCTTTTTCCACCATTTCTGTTATGAAGTAGTAAGTGAGTCGGAAATGACTCAGCTTTCCCCCTGCTTCTGGTCTTGAGCCTGGGAAGCATTTTAAAACAAACTGGATGGATTTCCTGCCTTTTCTCTCCCCTGGCTTCTGGACTGGAGCCTGGAAAGCATTTTAAACCAGACTGGATGAATTTCCTTCCTTTGCTCCCCCGCCCTTCTGGAGTAAAACAACTACTTTCAAAGTAAAGACCACCCAATGAAACAGGAAATAACACTTTCAAACCATTAAGGAAGGATTCAGAAGCCTTGGAAGTTTTGAAAAGTTTTGAACATTTTTTTTTCTGTGAAAATGGGAATTGATTTCCGGATCGAACCACCAGCGCCCCCTACATCCAAAACAAGTTTTGAACAATGTTTTTAACCAAACAAGCCTAGTATTTACCTTTTTCTCCCATCAGATTCAGAAAGAGAGGTGTGAGGGCTCTTGCAGAAAGCTCTTCTGAACAAGTCACTAATCCTTCTCTCACTGCCTTGTAGCCATTCAACACAACGAGGGGTGATGTCCCCAACCATAAGGTATAGATGTTTCCATAGCTCTTTGTTAACTAGAAGAGTGAAAACACATTACTTAGATAAAAAAATTGGTTAAAAACCAAAAGAGTGAAGCAGCAGTGAGTTTTAGTCTTGTAGGTCAAGTATATGTAAGCTAAAGTAGAATCTATAGCAGTGTATCTCAATCTGGGGGTCGGGACCCCTGGGGGGGGATGAGGTGGTGTCAGAGGGGTCACTGAAGACCATAATAAAATGCAGTATTTTCTGTTGGTCATGGGGATTTTGTGTGGGAAGTTTGGCCCAATTGTATCATTGGTGGGGTTCAGAATGCTCTTTGATTGTAGGTGAACTATAAATCCAAGCAACTATAACTCCCAAATGACAAAATCAACCTCAGCAGTATTTAAATTTGGGTGTATGGGGTATTTGTGCCAAATTTGGTCCAGTGAATGAAAATACATCTTGCATATTGGATATTTACAATTCATAACAGTAGCAAAATTATAGTTATGAAGTAGCAACTAAAATAATTTTATGATTGGGGGGTCACCACAACATGAGGAACTGTATTAAGGGGTCACTGCATTAGGAAGGTTGAGAACCACTGATCTATAGTATTCTTTCCACACCCTCCTTCCAGTTTTCTTTGCGAATGGTAATGAATCAAATGAGGTTACATAATGAATTTCAATTTAAAAGCAAACTTCCGGGTCCTACAGTTTTCGGTTTCAGACAACCTCAGCACTCTCCAACCGTCCCATCACTCTTGTGACACTTCCCCTATGCAATGATTGCGTCAAGCCTTTCATTCATTGTGTTGCAGTAACAGTAACTACACCTGATCAGCAAATTTACTTGGAAAGCCTTGTTGAGGAAGTGGGAACTGAATTAATTCATGACTTAATTAAATGTAACCAAGCCATTTCTGTATTCTGGTAGTAAGAGTTGTTTATGACGTATTACATTACACTTCATTGTTGAGCAAATAACTAGTTAAATTTAACCAGTTATTTGAAAGGCGTAGAAAGAATTATACCCTTGGTAGAACTTGGAGAACTACTTTTAAATTTTATGGAATTTTGAGAGCTGTAGTTTGTGATGCCAGCACTCTGGCTGAGAAGGATATAGATCAGCATTTCTCAACCTGGGGGTCATGAGAGGGTGTCAGAGGATTGCCAAAGAACATCAGAAAACATAATATTTTCTGTTGGTCATGGGGGTTCTGTGTGGGAAGTTTGGCCCAATTCTATCATTGGGGAGGTTTAGAATGCTCTTTGAGTAGGTGAACTATAAATCCCAGCAACTACAACTCCCAAATGTCAAGTCTATTTTCCACAAACTCCACCAGTGTTCACATTTGGGCAACTCCCAAATGGCAAAATACAGCCCCACTCCCTCTGGATGTAGGTGAACTACAACTCCAAAACTCAAGGCCTGTGCCCACCAAACCCTTCCAGTATTTTCTGTTGGTCATTGGATTTCTGTGTGCCAAGTTTGGTTCAATTCTATCATTGGTGTGGTTCAGAATGCTCTTTGATTGGAGAACTATAAATCCCAGCAACTACAACTCCCAAATGTCAAGTTCTATTTCCCCCAAACTCCACCAGTGCTCACAGTTGGGCATATTGAATATTTTGGTTCAGATCTATCATTTTTTGAGTCCACAGTGCTCTCTGGATGTAGGTGAACTACAACTCCAAAACTCAAAGTCGATGCTCACCAAACCCTTTCAGCATTTTCTGTTGGTCATGGGAGTTCTGTGTTCCAAGTTTGATTCAATTCCATCGCTAGTAGAGTTATTGTAACTTAAATATAAGACAAGCATATATGAGAGAGTCAGGCAGTTAACGAGAAGTTGAGAGTTAAAACTCAAGGCCATGACAACCAAACCCTTCCAGTATGTTGGTCGTGAGAGTTCTGTGTGTCAAGTTTGGTTCTATTCTCATTGGGGGAGTTCAGAATGCTCTTTGATTGTAGGTGAACTATAAATCCCAGCAACTACAACTCCCAAATGACAAAATCAATCCCCCCCAACCCCACTAACACTCAAATTTGGGCATATCGGGTACTTGTGCCAAATTTGGTCCATTGAATGAAAATACATCCTGCATATCAGATATTTACATGATGATTCATAACAGTAGTAAAATTACAGTTATGAAGTTTGTTGTTGTCGTTCATTCATTCAGTTGTTTCTGACTCTTTGTGACCTCATGGACCAGCCCATGCCAGTCATGAAATAGCAACAAATATAATGTTATGGTTGGGGGTCACCACAACATCAGGAACTGTACTAAGGTGTTGTGGCATTAGGAAGGCTGAGAACCACTGTTCTAGATCTTACAACACTACAACTTAACCAATTCCATAGTATTGAGACATGACAGTTAAATGGTGTCAAGCAACATTAATTCACCCTTAAAAAACATTATGATTTCATTAATGAATTAACAACACACCAAATTAGACACACCCTCTCCCTGTTTATATTAAGGTATTGATCGTTAATGCTTTCTTCCACTTCCAGTCATTACCTGAGCCAAAGACTCTCGCTTGAGTGAAAAATCCAGTTGCCAAAGATTGCCAATAATTGGAAGAGGAGTTGGTCCAGGTGGAAACTTGTTACGTGCCCATTGCTGCTTCAGAAAATGCACCATTAAGAGGAAGAGGATGGAAAACATTAAAAGTTCAGTGATCTGAAGCATCTCACTTTGAATATCTCTTTCGCTTGGTCTTGCCTTTTTCCTGGAAAAAACCCCCACAATCTATTGATTGCTCGGAGCAGTTATCTTTTCAGGCATCTCTCCAGCACTTTCTCCCCTTTCGCTATTGTCTTTTATTTTTATTTAAGTGACGTTTCCCCCTGTTTTTCCTAATCCCACCTCCTTGTCTCCAGATTCTCAGTGGTTTAGCAGCCATGTGATGAGAATTGCTGGGCAGGCCTGGAGGAGGAGATTAAGTAATCCATTCTTTCCTCGCAAATTGATGACTTTTAAAATCCAAAATGAAGTCTGTATCCACACTGGAGAATTGTAACTGCTTGACGCCACATCAACGGACATGGCTCAATGCCATGTAATTCTTGAATTTGTCGTTTTCACAGAGAGCTCTGGTGCCACAACAGACGATACATATTTGCATTCCATGGGATGGAGCTATTTTAAATTAATGTTTCAAAAGTTTTATTTTAACAAGAATGATTGTTAGAGGCTTTTAAAACTCTTATATTTGTCGCAGCTATCAAACTGGGGTTCCAAACATTCAACCCCTTCTGCGGAATTTATTTATTTATTTATTTGGGGTGATTCTACCCCACCCTTCTCAACCCCCTGGGGGGGGGGGACTCAGGGCGGCTTACAAAAGGCACAATTCGATGCCCAACAATTCACAAAATACAATATACAAATTACAATGTAACGATAACAGTTATAACTAATTAAAACAGTCAAATTAAAACAATAGCAGCAATAAAATCATCTTGTGGTCAACGTTCGTCAATTCATTAATCCATAATCCATCCACCATTGTCATTGTCCTTTCCTACTCTGGTCGTCATTGTCTTTTATCCATCAGCCAGCTTACCCAAAGGTCTGGTCCCATATCCAGGTTTTTAACTTCCTTCTGAAAGAGAGGAGGGATGTTGATGACCTAATTTCCCCGGGGATCGCATTCCACAGGCGAGGGGCCACCACCGAGAAGGCCCTGTCCCTCGTCCCCACCAGTCTCACTTGTGATAAAGGCGGGGCCAAGAGCAGGGCCTCCCCAGAAGATCTTAAACTCCGAGATGGGATGTAGAAGGAGATACGTTCGGACAGGTACGCTGGGCCGGAGCCGTATAGGGTTTTGTAGGTCAAAACCAGCACTTTGAATTGTGCTCGGAACTGACATAACAGGGGGGTGGTATGCTCCCTGTATGATGCTCCGGTGAGTAATCTAGCCGCCACCCGTTGGACTAATTGAAGTTTCCGAACAGTCTTCAAAGGCAACCCCACGTAGAGCGCGTTGCAGTAATCTATTCGGGATATAACAAGAGCGTGGACCACCATGGCCAGATCAGGCTTCCCAAGGTATGGGCGCAGCTGGCGCACAAGTTTTAATTGTGCAAAAGCCCTCCTGGCCACCGCTGAGACCTTGGGGTTCCAGGCTCAGCAATGAATCCAGGAAGTTGCGCCCCTTTGTCCAGAGAGGAAAAAACCCAACAGAAACAAACTGTCTATTAGCAAAGAAATACTTATATAAAGGTATTCACAAATAAAGCAGAGTCCTTGGAATATCCAGCTGCTTCCACACAATGGCTTGTAAACACAAAGTCTTTATCTCCAGATGAGACGCCACAGTCTTGTTCTTCAGACTTTGTAGCAATAATACACCTCCGGCAGCTCCAGCCTTGGGCTCCAAACTCTCTCTTCAATCTTCAACCTTTCTCCAACCTATTTCCAGCCTCTTTCCAGCCTCTCTTCAACCTCTTTCCAACCTCGAGTAACACAATGTACTTAATGTATTGTCGAAGGCTTTCATGGCCGGATCACTGGGTTGTTGTAGGTTTTTCCGGGCTATATGGCCATGTTCTGGAGGCAATTTTTCTCCTGACGTTTCGCCTGCATCTATGGCAAGCATCCTCAGAGGTAGTGAGGTCTGTTGGAAGTAGGAAAAATTGGTTTATATATCTGTGGAATGACCAGGGTAATGTTTCAGCTGATCACCTTGATTTGCATTCAATGGCCTGGGGGGAATCTTTTGTTGAGAGTGATTTGATGTGCCTGATTGTTTTCTCTCTGTTGTTTTGCTGTTGTAATTTTTGAGTTTTTTAATACTGGTAGCCAGATTTTGTTCATTTTCATGGTTTCTTCCTTTCTGTTGAAATTGTCCACATGCTTGTGGATTTCAATGGCTTCTCTGTGTAGTCTGACATGGTGGTTGTGAGAGTGGTCCAGGCCTGGAGCAATGGATTCAAATTTCAAGAAAAGATATTCCACCTAAACATTAGGAAAAAAGGGCATTGAATTATTGCCTATCTGTAAGCCGCCTTGAGTCCCCTCCGGGGTAGAGGAAGGAGGGATATAAATATAATAAATAAATAAATAAATAAATAAATAATAAAACTTCCTAAGGGTAGGAGCAGAGCCCTGGTGATGCAGTGAGTTAAACCGCAGAGCTGCTGAACTTGCCAACCGAAAGGTCACAAGTTCGAATCCGTGGAGCGGCATGAGCACCCGCTGTTAGCCTCAGCTTCTGCCAACCTAGCAGATCGAAAACATGCAAATCTGAGTAGATCAATAGGTACCATTCCAGCAAGAAGGTAATGGCGCTCCATGCAGTCATGCTGGCCACATGACCTTGGAGGTGTCTATGGACAACGCCGGCTCTTCTGCTTAGAAATGGAGATGAGCACGAACCCCCAGAGTTGGACATGACTGGACTCAATGTCAGGGGAAAATCTTTACCTTTACCTAAGGGTAAGAGCTATTCAATAGTGGAGAATGCTGCCCTTGAGTGTGGTGGAACCTCCCTTCTCTGGAGGTTTTAAGCAGAGCCTGGAAGACTATCTGTCTGGAGGGCTTGGGTTGTGTGTTCCTGGATGGCAGAATGGGGTTGGAATGAATGGCTCTTGGGGTCTCTTCCAACTCCAGGTATCCATAATTTTATGGAGTGGATTCATTGCCACTGCTGACAACAAAGTCATGATATGCCACTTACTAATTACAACGGATATCCACCACGCTATCATGCTTTCTTCTTCCTCTACTTCAGTGGTTCTCAACCTGGGGTCCCCAGATGTTTTTGCCCTACAACTCCCAGAAATCTCAGCTGTTGGGATTTCTGGGAATTGAAGGCCAAAAACATCTGGGGACCACAGGTTGAGAACCACAGCTCTACTTCCTCTTCTTCTTCTTCTTCTTCTTCTTCTTCTTCCCCCTCCTCCTCTTCTTCCGTCTCCTCTTCTCCTTCAGCTTTTAGTGAGCAACATCTGGAATCTATTTATGGATGTCTGATAAACAATAATAGAGCTACCCACAAGTCACATTGTCCTTGTTACTTGAGAAAAGATGGATGAGATTTCCTCTCTTTAAATTGGATTCATTTTTGTGTTCCAATAACTTAGAGCTCTTTTCAGTCTGGCATTCTGTGTCTCCGTGAACTTCCTATGTTTCTAGCACACAGTGAAACCTGTTGCTGTTATTCTTCATCACATTGATTCTTTTTGTAAAAATATTAAGGGAAAGATGAAAATGTGTAGCAGTTATACATTAATCTTAAACTGATTCCAAAAGATGTGTTCATTTTCTTTGATTTCTGGTATATCTTTTCATTGCATTGTTTATATCTTTTGACTTCTAATCTCTCATTGTTAATATAATGGTGAATATGTCTTCAAGTCACCTGCCAACTTGCGTGACCCCATTAATTCTATGGGATTTTCCCAGGCAACGAATACGCAGAGGTGATTTTGCCAGTTCTTTCCTCTCAAATATTGCCTTCAACACCCAGCATTTGTTATCCATTTGTTATACCTGTGGCGCAAGAGCCCTGAAACACCTTTTCACCACAAACCACATTCTGTTTAAGTAATTTGGTAAGTAGAAGTTTATTTAAAGAAGTGTGTGTGTGTGTATGTGTGTGTGTGTGTGTCTTGGATGATGCATACCTATCGGCCTGTGCCTTCAGTCTAACGCCTTCTTTAATGGGATTGCAGAACTGCCCTTGTGCATCTTCCATTGCACAAGGGAACAATCAGCTGGTACATGGGTTGGAACATTGATTGAACAATGTTGATACCCATCAGAAGTGTCATTCAACACAACCTTATTTTGACTATGTGAGTGTAGATTAAACTATGCAAAAAAGATATAGACCACACCTGGAATACTGTGTCCAATTCTGGGCACCACAATTGAAGAGAGATATTGACAAGCTGGAATGTGTCCAGAGGAGGGCGACTAAAATGATCAAGGGTCTGGAGAACAAGCCCTATGAGGAGCTGGGCATGTTTAGCCTGAAGAAGAGAAGGCTGAGAGGAGATATGATAGCCATGTATAAATATGTGAGAGGAAGCCACAGGGAGGAGGGAGCAAGCTTGTTTTCTGCTTCCCTGGAGACTAGGATGCAGAACAATGGCTTCAAACTACAAGAAAGGAGATTCCATCTGAACATGAGGAAGAACTTCCTAACTCTGAGAGCCGTTCAGCAGTGAAACTCTCTGCTCTGGAGTGTGGTGGAGGCTCCTTCTTTGGAAGCTTTTAAGCAGAGGCTGGATGGCCATCTGTCAGGGGTGCTTTGAATGCAATATTCCTGCTTCTTGGCAGGGGGTTGGACTGGATGGCCCATGAGGTCTCTTCCAACTCTATGATTCTATGATTCTATGATCTTGGTCAATGTTTTTGGGCTTTTCATTTGTTGGCACAGTATGGCCTAGATCCTGTTTATTCCTTCACCAGTCACTCTCTGACCATAATAAAGAACGCTGTTGATTTCCACCTGAATCTTATTTGGATTTGATTTCAGACTTTCTCTCTGCATCTTTCTAATAATGTTTTCAGGTTCTTAATGGTGGCTATTCTTAGTGGAGGCATGCCTAGATATGCCATCAATAATGACTTCCATACCCTGTAACTGTTCCCAGACAGAATGCCCTTAATCAGATATTTAATGGGCTGAGGAAATTCTATAAGCTACTCCGATGAAGAGCCAGTGAGTTGCACATTGA